CTTACTTTCGCCAATCTCGAAATTGGCTGACTTAATCTATTTCCATGTCTAGTTTGATAGTGGTGTCTGTCCGACACTTTACCAAATAACTGTAGGGTTTTCCTAACATACATGATGTTTTCATAAATAAATTGACATGGAACGGGTAATGTTGGGTTGGAGATAACAGTTTAAAAGGATCAGGTTTATCAGAAATTACTGCTGCCTTGTATATGTAATCCCCTACGGTATTATACTGCCAGGGAAATATGAATTCATGTCTAAGATCGAAGGGACCCCTTAATAGAATTTGTTAAGGGTCCCACGCTTGATCCCCTAATCCGTCACTGGCCAGGACTGTTTAGCAAGTTCATCGATCCTTTGCCCACAGTCGCTGATGGATAGAATAGAATAGAAAGGATGGCAGGGTACGGTTGTCGTAAAATGAAACCACTGCTTAACATGATACTAGAATTATTAAGGTTCAAAATTGCATGTGGCTTTTTGTGTGTGTTTTTTTTTATTTATATATGTACTTTCTAAGATTCTCTAGACACCACTGACACGGTGAAGGAAAAACTTCGTGAGGAAACCTGGGCTTATAATTTCTATTTATAAGTTTGAAATCGCCAACCCACATAGAGCAAGCGTGGTGATTAATGCTCGAACCTTCTCCGTGTGAGAAGCGGCTTTGCTTAACAGTGGGCATGTAGGCTGTTGATGATTATTAAAGCTACGAACAGCTTTACTAAAAACCATCGACAAAATGGAAGCACAATTTAATTAAAAACGTTTAACGCATGCATCAGCAGACACGTGTCCTTCACGAAATAAATTAAACATATTAAAAGAGTATTAATTAAAACATGAACTGATTAATGAATTCGTTTCACACCAAAATCTCTGTATGGAGTTTAGTTAGATTAACAAACATTGTGACAATGACTAATGAAGGGTTGGCAGAGAAACATGTGTTGTATGAAAAATTGGTTTTCAGATTAACTAAATAATTATTAAAACTTGTGAATTTGACATAATTATTAGAAACCCAATGCTATTAAAAATGTTGTTATTAATGAAATTTTAAGTATTTTAAAAACGCATTTACTATGTATAAATATACTTTGCCCGACCCGAGAATTAACCTGAGAATCTCAACGATACGACAACGAGATAGTTATTTTATATAGGTATTATCTAGGGCTTATAACATACCTAAATGGTGAACATGGATTTACATAATATATCAATCTATGTTGTTTAGAAAGGTTCAATGTGGTCGTGGTGGCCCGGAGGTTTAAGACGCCTGCTTCTCATGCATGAGGGTGCGGGTTCGAAACCTACCAACGGCAAGTACCAATGTGATTTTTTCAAAGTTATACGTACTTTCTAAGATTATCTAGACACCACTGACAAACGGTGAAGGAAACCATCGTGAGGAATACTGGACTTATAATTTCTAATTATAAGTTTGTAATCGCCAACCCGCATTGATCAAGCGTGGTGATTAATGCTCAAACCTTCTCCGTGTGAGAAGAGGCTTTGCTTAGCAGTGGGCATTTATAGGCTGTTGATGATGATGATGATGATGTTGTTTACTACAAAAAAGGAAGTATTAGCGCTTAAATATACAGTAAAGAGCTTGTAAACAAAACTGCGATGCGGTGCAAATTCGCAACGTAAAAAATTACGATGCGAATTGCTACGATGGGATTTCGTGCAAAGGTTGAAATCATGTTCAAATCAATCAAAATCTCTGGAATGGCTGGACTTAATATGACGGGACTTTTACTAGTAGGTGGCTGATATACTAAAGAGTAACATAGGCTATTTTGGAAAATTGAAACAAAGAGAAACTTATGTACTAAATCCGTACGCGGACGAAGTAGCGGGCAACGGCTACCTAGATATTCCCTCACTTCCAACTTTCAATCCGATCTACAGATTTTCCGCCAACACATTCAATAAAACAAAAATGGAACTTTCCTAAACATGGAATAAACAAAAGAAATTCCCGAACACAAAATAAGATCAAACAAATCCTTTTATATATTGCTTTGTAATGTCAACAACCTTTTATACATAGATAGGTAGTTCTTCTATCATGGGAGCTGATGTAATATGTAATGACATAACGTAACATAACATCACGTCTTTTATCCCCGAAGGGGAGGGCGATGGTGCAGATTACGACACTCAATGCCACTGTACAATGTAACACCCACTTTTCACTATTTATGTTATGAGTCCCATGTAATAGGAAGTGAGTCTATTGCCATATAGCGATAACAATTCCAGACTCCGTGCAACTACTGAGGTTTTTTTTAAAAATCCAGTAATACTTTGCCCGACATGGGAATCGAACCCGAGACCCCTTGCAATTATGTCAACACCTTCTCTTTAATTTACTCAAAATTCTATTTATAGAATGCCTCATTGGCCGAGTGATCGCAAGTGCGACTGCCGGGCAAGGGCTCTTTGGTTCGATTCCCAGGTCGGGCAAAGTATTACTGGTTTTTTTTTTAATTCTCAGTAGCAGCACGGAGCCTGGAATTGTGCCCGGTATATGGCAATAGGCTCACCCCCTATTACATGGGAGTCATAACATAAATAGTGAAAAGTGGCTGTTACATTGTACAGTGGCATAATGTGCACTACCTAACTCTGCCTACCCCTTCGAAGATGAAAAGCGTGATGTTATGTTATGTGTTATTTAAGAAATATCTGGGTTTGTGGGTAGGTATTCGAAACACTACCAAAATTATGTTAAAACCTTCTCTTTAATTTACTCAAAATGCTGTTTATTTATTACCTATCAATTTTAACCTTAACGATTTAACTCGTCGAGTACCGTATTTATAGACACAATTAAAGAACAATAGGTTGCGGTCACCGGTGACCGCTTGGTGTTTGACAGTTAAGAAACAAAGTCCTATTATAATATAATATAATATTATAAATACGAAAGTTTGTGAAGATGTATGCGTGTGTGTGAATGTATGTGTGTGTTTTTTACTCTTTCATGTCAAAATGGCTGAAGGAATTGAGATGTAATATGGAAATCTGGAATAACACATAGGCCACGGAAATGCAAGCCAAGCTGCTGACAGAAGCTATTCTTACATATTACCTAATTTGATAAATAAATATACATATATACGTAAATATCCTTACTAATATTATAAATCGGAAAGTGAGTTTGTTTGTTTGTTTGTTTGTATCACGCCGTAACTACTAAACCGACTGCTTTGAAGTCCAGATTAAATAATAGGGTACTTTTTATCCCGGAAAAATTTTATATTCCCGAGGGAAAACAAAAGTATTGGTATAGATGGCGCTGTGTGTATTGGTATATGTCACATAGACTATTTTTTATCCTTTTGGGACGCGAGCGAAGCCGCGCGCTAAAAGCTAGTACTACAAATAATGAAGGTTAAGAAGTGTAGCAAATTAGAATTAGAAGAACACGAACTCAAATCCCTGGAGATGTTATAATCAAATCGTAAGAAAACAAGTTCAGATCATTGCTAGTGCTAATACTCACGTGCCACCATTGCTGAAAGTATCAAGCCTAATGTGAACCTAATTTGCATAATTTATTCCTTTAGGTAGATAGGATCTGTTTAGGACGAGGCCCCATTTGTATGTTGCGCTGCGTTGCGTTTTCGCAGCGTCGATTTCCATATATGTATTTTATGGCATACACTTATATTATGACTGACTTACACCTCGTTGGCCGAGTGGTCGCAAGTGCGGCTGCCGAGCAAAGTATTACTGGGTTTTTAAATAAAATCTCAGTAGTAGCACGGAGCCTGTAATTGTGTCTGGTATCTGGCAATAGGTTTGCTCCCTATTACATGGGACTAATAACATAAATAGTGAAAAGTGGGTGTTATATTGTAAAGTGGCATTAAGTGCCGTAATGTGCACCTCTGCCTACCCATTCGGCTAATAGGCGTGAAGTTATGTCATGTTATGTTTTTATGACATACCCCATTATACCGTTGCGTCGTCTAGCGCAATGTGTCAACTGATCGACAGACAAAAGATGAAGCGGGAGGTAGGGTGATGCGCTGCATCGACGGGCACTTATCACGTTTGTATCTATCCTTAATGAAGAATGAAATGAGACGCAGCAGCGACGTCGTGTGTCGTCGCAACCCTAGTGGGGCGTACAATGCGTTGATCTGTTGCGATGACGCAGGCAACGCGCAACGTACTAATGGAGCATCGCCCTTACTAACTCTTGTTTGATATTCAAGATACATCGTTGGGGAGGATACAATCCTCTGCACTCCTTATAATTTTCTAGAAATTCTTGTCAACATAATAGTTTTTTGAGTCGTTCTTAGCAATCATGTCAATGCGTATTACATTATTCTACATTCTGTTATTATTTTTTAAATTAAGTTTAATAATAATATTATATCATGTGTCAAAAATGTGTCACAACACAATTACATTTACAGTCTCTTTTATTTTTACAAGCTATTTTGATTAATTTATTCCAACTTAACACTATGACATCTTCAATTCCACGAAACGACAGGCTGTTAACCTTATAATATTAAAAAAAAGTATTTATATCAGTGTACAACATCTAAACGGGTTGTTGTAAATTCGTCACAAAGTAAATTCGTCCCGAAAAAAAACGTGTTTTATATTTTTCGTCAAAAGTTACCCTCGCGCGAATAGAATATAAAAGTAATAATAGAATCGAATATTAACCTTATTAACCTACTAATAATTATTATTATAATTATTTAAGCATTGCCAAACAACGTGGCAATGCTGCCAGCCTTCTGGGTACTTTCCCCACTGACGTCGATGCGGACGAATTTTTCGACGCTTTATGTAAATAGTTGTTTTTGTTTTTTTTTATAATTAATTTTAATCTTTAGTTGTATATAGGTATTTAATTTAGTAATATTTAGTTTTAATTTTTTTTAAGTAATAGTTAGTTTTTAATTTAAGTTTTTTATTTGAATAAATGATAAACCTACTAATGTCTTTGTTTTCAGACGTAAAATGGTACGACCAAGTCCTCCTGAATCGACCTCTGAGGGTAGTGGTAGTAATGCTTATAGTAGCAATACTAGTCCCAGTTCTAATGTACCGATACGTCTTCTTCCCAACACTTGAACTAGCGCCAACAGATGGCCTATCAATGGGTTCCTGTGTAGTTGCTAGAGACGCAAGACTTCCATGTGGAAGAGAATCGGTACCACCAGAAGAATGTCATCCACAATGCTGTTACGATAATACCAACCACTTATGTTATCATCGATACCCTTCGAGATTCTCCTATCTACTCCGAGAAGAGTGGACAGAAAGATTGAACATGACACCACGAACTCTATCCCTACCATATGGTTCAAGTACAAGCGTCAGAAACATCAGGTTGTCCATCAACGAAGTGTCAGCTTCCCATCTCACATTAACCTTCCATCAGTCCACTGACATAATAGGCAGAAGGATACATGAGAAGAATTATAACTACGAAGTGATGCGTCCAGAATTAAACATTATTGTCAGTTCAAATCAAGGTGTAATTTTCAATACAGCCCGAGGACCTTTGATAGCATCAGATAATATTTGGGAATTGACTTTTAAACTCACAGATGAAACGCTTTATGGATTGGGTGAAATTCCTTTAGAACCGGGTACTGTGAAGGTTATTTATAATCATAAAGGAGGGTTAAGTTCCATTCCTTTAATATTTGCTAAATCTAATGGTTCCTATCATGGACTACTGATAGACACAATATCACCAACAGAAGTGATTGTGAGAAGAGACAATCAGTTGGTCCTTCGCAGTATAACGAATTATGGATTAAAGATACATTTGTTCGTGGGACCAGAACCTGCTGATATAATGAGGGATGCAATGGATACTATAAAAGTTAAGAAAAACTTGGAGTATTGGATGTTGGGCGCTCATATTTGTAGGTAAGTCTTTACTTTCTAAGAAGCCAGTTACGCGTTAAATATAGAAAAGGGTGCCGAAGTCATTTTGGATAGATTGTTGAGGTTCAGAATTTCAATAACTTAAGGCACAAAATCATTAATGATTTACTTCAGAAGTTGTTACCTATTTAAATCAGTCTTCCATTGAATGGGTCTTGAGTATCAAAATCTAAGGCGTCACGGGCATTAAATTGACTAATACTTAAAGTTCAAAGTCGTAAAACAATTTCGAACACTTCAAGAAGTATACTTAATCAAAATCTATCAAGTATGTAGTTGACAATGTCCCAATTCTCTCAACTTCTCCAAGATTTTCTCTAGAATGTTGAGAGTCTGTGTCGCTTCTATGTTCTATCGTTTTGTTATTAAAACTTTTTATTGCTTTCGGCCTTGACTTCAAACTTAATATCAAACTGAAATGTTTGTGGTATTTTATCTTTGAATAATATGTTGTCTATCTCCGCACCCTATACTTATTATACTCTTTGCTCCACACCAAAAGTCTATGATTTAAGTTTTAAGAGCGTTACAGATAGACGGAATAAAGAGGTGTTTTTGCGTTTACAGTATTGAGTAGGAAAAGAGACGGTTAGTCGACTGTTCACACGCTTCATTTTAAGACAACTCAAGTATCTAAATAATAAGGTTCAATATCGCATAGTTTTATCAGATTATATTTGCTTGTACAAATGGATATACATATAGTTGTTTGCAATCGAAAGTATTTTTAATGAGAATTTTTTTGCCTCAATAAGATTAATAAGATAAACAGTTCCTAAATAAAATCAACTAATAATTAATAAAGTTTGTTCTACGATATTTATTTTAAAATCGACAATTTATTTTGAAAAGTAAAGTTTTAGCTAAATATTTGAAGACCGAAGTTCTTTGAGTTCAATGACATTAATTTTTTTTTTTTCGAGATTATGATTATTATAGCTTATTCACTCAATCTGCCCTTTCAAACTTTTTAAACATATTCTTCTGCATGAAAATTACATTATGAATGCTATTTTTGGAATTATTATCTACTGATTACTTAGGATTTTCTAGGTAAATCACACAATATTTTACTGCTTTGTGTTATATCAATATTCACATCTTTAGATAAGATTTTTGTAAAAGTTTATTTAATTTTGGAACACAGTTGTTTAAATCTAAGAACATGTCAACAAACCCTGTATTAAATAAATTATAGTTATGTCTCTGGAATATAAAACAAATTACTGTATTATCTTGGAATTTAAGGCTTTAAACTGCCAATAGAAAACGGTTGATGGTAAACCCTGTACTAGCGTCGATCATCGATGACCGCCATGGCGTTAATAATGCTAGTGTCGGCTAACATGAAATAGAAAAATAAATTCATATTCGTAACTGTTAAGGCTGCTGAATTAGTTACGTCCCACGTTCGGGTGCATAATCGTGGCTCGTGAGCAGCTGGCTATGCTATAACGTTCAATTCGGAAGATCAATGTAATTTCGACCGTCGTCCGCCACGCCATTGGTTGTTAAAATAATCTCCACCAATGACGTGCGAGAATGTGCTCGAGCTTACTTCGAAAATTTGAATTGACAATTACAGAAGAGTCTAACAGGTTTATAGTGATACTAACGTGTGATGTCACACAGCCAACTCACCCTCTCAGCACCCATTTGGCCTGTTGCATAATTATGAGCCCTTGTTTTAACTTGAAACTAATCGAGTACTCTCAAACAGATACGAGAGCAAGCCATATATTTTAATTAATTGACTACACGATTGGCGCGGTAGCTAGGCAACCGGCTGCCGCGCAACGTGCAGTGGATTCGATTCCCGTACGGAGCAACTCTTTGAGTAATCCACAAATTCTTTTTTCTTGTATGTTTGTAAACGCACCCTCGACACAGGAGAAATTCCTAGTGTCAAGTAACGTTTAAAAAAATACGTACTAAACTTCATACAAAAACTAACCTCAAATAATTTAAATGTTTATAATTCCAGGGAAGCAGTACAGGATGATCCTTTAGCAGACTTAAGAACGTTCCTATCAACAGCCACTTCCCAAGAGGTACCTTTTGAGAGCCACTGTGGTGCCTTGCCGATTGTGTTTGATACGCAATGTAATTCTGATATGGTGCATGTTGTCAACCAAGGCTCAATTCTAGTCAAAAGTGCTGGAAAGAAATTTGTACCTCAAGTTTCTCCTTACGTAAGTTTTTTTTTAATTTCATCCGATACTAGTATTTTACATAACATCACATAACGCCTTTTATCCCCGACGGGGTAGGCAGAGGTGCACATTTTGCCACTGTACAATGTAACACCCACTTTTCACTATTTATGTTATGAGTCCCATGTAATAGGGGGTGAGCCTATTGCCATATACCGGGCACAATTCTAGACTCCGTGCTACTTTCAGGTACTTTCTAAGTAGGCATTTACATAAAGTGCTGATAGTGGCAACCAGTGAGGTTTTCATCATCAACAGCCTATATACCCACGGCTGAGTAAAGCCTCTTCTCACACGGAGAAAGCTTAAGCATTAATCACCACGCTTGCTCAATGCGGGTTGGCGATTACAAACTTATAATAAGAAATCATAAGCTCAGGTTTCCTCACAATGTTTTCCTTCTCCGTTTATCAGTGGTGTCTTGATAATCTTCGAAAGTGCATATAACTATGAAAAAGTTACATTGGTACTTGCCGTCGCGTCGGTAGGTTTCGAACCCGCACCCTCATACATGAGAGCTGGGCATCTTAAACCTCCGGGCCACCATGACACCTAGTGAGGTTTTAGTCAGTTAAAAATCCTACACTATCTAGTCTGTTTCCCCCAAAAAACTAAGCGCCCTTCCCCCAATCAATAAAAAAGGTCTATACACAAAACGTTTTATGTTAATGGCCTCTAACAGAGACCACAAATAATTGTTTCAAAATACCTACGTACTTTAATTCAATTTATAAACAAAAATTTATATTTACACATTCAAAAACTTTGCATATTATTTCGAAATAGGTTAATTTTCAAATCGCCCACGCAGCTGTCTCACTTGAGTGTAGACCCAAGCCCTTTTTAATGACATTTAGAAACGAATAGCACTAGATTTTTGGTCTTTTCATAAAAATTTAATCTAAACTTAGAATATAATATACATATACTTATCTGCAGACAATTTGTACATAAATATAAGGATTTAACTAAAACTATTGTCTTATATACGTCCAGTTTCTATAACCTATCTATTCTATGGACGTACTACGTCTGGTACGATCTAGAGATAGAATTTTGACATGAGCTCCATACAAAATGTGTCAATATTCTATCCCTAGTAGGCAAATCTACAGATAGATAGGTTATAGAAACTGGACGTTAACAAATAGATACTTGTACGATTTTAAGTTTAAATTCTCATATTCAAATTTATTCAATGTCAATGTCAAAGTATTTATTTTAACACAAAATTTTTTAAATGTCAACAAATAGAGTAATCCCAGCCTGTTCTGTGCGAAGTGTGACTGTCGGGCAAGGGGTCTCGGGTTCGATTTCCGAGTCTGGCAAAGTACTACTGAGTTTTAAAAAAAATCCTAGCAGTAGCACAGAGTCTGGTATTATGCCCGGTATTTGGCAATAGGCTCACCCCCTATTATGGGACTTATAACATAAATAGTGAAAAGTGGGTGTCACATTGTACAGTGGCATAATTTGCACCTCTGCCTACCCCTTCGGGGATAAAAGGCGTGATGTTATGTTATGTTAGAATAGTCCCAGCCTGTTCCTCAAAAAACTAGATTCCAAAGTATATGAATTAGCTACATAGCCTAGGTCTGACATAAATACAATTAATTAATTTACTCTTTGATACCTACCTGCCTGAAACATTTGTGACTTGTAAAATTACGATTTCTTGTCACACGCTTTTTAATTTAAGCCTCTGTTCAACATTATTCACCGTCAAGAGCTAATTTAATCGTAATTTGTCAAGCTTTGTGTTTGAATGAGGTCGTGTAAGGAGAACTGAATTATTACGTTCTTAGAAATAATTCTATTTTTTCTACCTTTTTCGGACAATTTAATTTCCTCCTGTATCTACAATCTACAAATAAAATTTTTAAACACACATACACAAATACATCACAGGCATACCCAGAAGAAAAATTGAGGATCATACGTAAATAGTCGGTAGTTCCATTTCATTTGCGCAGCTACTGCATCTGCATGTTAAGTTACTATGAAGTATACATTTACATATCAACTACTAGCTACTTCCGCGCGGTTTCCCACGCTCTGCTCAGCTCCTATTGGTCGTAGCGTGATGTTTTATAGCCTAAGCCATCCTCGATAAATGCACTATCCAACACAAAAATAATTATTCAAATCAGACTTGTAGTTACGAAGATTAGTGCGTTCAAACAAATAAACAAAAAAAAAACAAACTCTTCCGCTTTATATAATAGTATAAAATGAAGTTAAAAACTATTACAATAGACTGTACAATACAACTGAACAAAAAAAAATTTAATAAAAAAATGTCATAAACCTCTTTTACAGATAAAATACACACCACCGCCAGCAGAAAGCGACGAAGAAGAAGGTACTACAGAAAATATAGAACCAAAAACTAAAACAACTATTATGGCAGAAGACAGATGTTTTGATGACGAGAAATTTGACCAGTACATCATTCGAGACCCTGATTCCTCCAGTCCATACAAAGGCAAAGCTAACGGTTATGATATCATCTATCCTGGATTCTCAAGAGGCAGTGATGACTTCATGAATGCTTTATGGAATTACAACACAGATTTCGATGGCATCATTTTGGAAAACACCTGGCCATTAGACGAATATGAAAAAGATTTTAGTGACATACAGGATCATTTGCCGTATTTCAGTGATGTGAGTTGTTTATTGGTATATTTTTTTAATTCACCAAGCTCCTAACATTATAAAATACTAGCTTCTGCCAGTGGCTTCACCCACGATTCAGTGTGATTATAAGTCGCTCACATGTCATTCCAGACCCTAATCGACCCCTGTTCTAAATTTCATTCCGATCTGTTCAGCCGTATTAACATGATTGAGTAATAAACATACACACAAACTTTCGCATTTATATAATACTAGCTTTTACCCGCAGCTTGGCTCGCGTCACAAAAGGATAAAAAGTAGCCTATGTGCCTACCAATACACACAGCGCCATCTATATTAATTCTTTTGTTTTCCCTCGGGAATATAAAATTTTTCCTGGATAAAAAGTTCCCTATTATTTAATCCGGACTTCTAACTTTACGTCTGCAAAATTTTAAAGCAATCGGTTTAGTAGTTACGTTGTGAAAGCGGAACAAACAAACAAACAAACTCACTTTCTGATTTATAATATTAGTAAGGATTAGTAAGATTCCTGCAACACACCACTTTAAAATATGCCAACACCAGTGTTCTTAATCCGATACCCAATTTCAGTAAAAAACAAAGATCTAAGTTTGAGGTTCGATAACATCAATTCATTATAACATTTGCATGATTAATCATCCGATGCTGACGAGGCAGGCGATGATAAATTATTTCCAAAGATCAACTTAGCGAGGGCAAGTAAAAAATGACGTGTTGTTTGGGGTCAAGAAAACATGTACTTAACGGCAAAATTTTCTTACCAAATAGAAACTTAGTAAGAACATTTTGGGAACACTTAGGAACAAATATTATTAAACGATTTCATTTAGATTGCCCCGTTTGTTTGTTTGCGTCTTTAGAAGTTGTGCTGGAATAATACAAATTCAAAATTAACACCGATTTTTATTGTGTATACCTCTACGTTTCAGAGTTTTGAAGACGCCTTCCATTTAGTACCTCAATGGAATGCTTCACGTCCAATTCGAGTTTTTGGGAGGGCACCGGCTAACGTAGAATTCCCAGGAGAGATGTACTTTAAGTCACACAATGATTATGGCAATCGATTTGCCACCGCTTTCAGAGTGATCAAAGGTTCTGTTCCTACACTAAGCACAAGTCCATGGATGAATGGACAAGTTGCCATCAACAGACAAGGTATATCAACTTCATGGACAAATCTTCGCAAGGAACTTGTTGAAGCAAGTTTGGGAGGTGTTTCTGGCCACTGGTACTGGTCATCCCCTGTATGTGGTGACACTGATGATTTTGACAAGAGTTATCAAACCAGGCTATGCGCTAAGTGGTATATGGCAGCCACATATATGCCAATGATTAAGATACACTCAAAAGTACACGAAAGAGATCCTCTGGGCTTCGTCGGCACGGACAGAAGACAAATGATAAAAGCGTTAAATAGGCGCCTTAGTCTATTGCCATATTTCTATACAACTCTGCAAGAAGGGCCTCTTTTAAGACCAATGTTCTTTCAATACCCTTCGATTGATAATATAACAGATTTGACGACTCAGTTCGCAGTTGGAAATGATTTGTTGATCGTGCCAAACTTGCAACCGATGCAGACACACGTACATGTAAGGATGCCACCAGGCACGTGGTATGAATTCTGGAGTGGTTTGGAAATATTTGGAGCCGTTGGGGAAGCCGTTACTATGACAACCACTGACGCAGACTTCTTTTCTCTAGTGCGCGCTGGTTCCATCATCGTCATGCAAAAGGTACATATATTTAATTAGTATTACTTAAAAAATCTTCAAATCAAATTTGAATTGACAGAAAAGCAAACCTATTACACATATAATTGAAACTGAATTGCCATAATGTTAGTTCCTTTCGACGGCTGTTCTAGATATGCTGACCCAAAAATCTCTGAATCGCTCTATTACTGAAGTGATCTAATCAAATTGCTGTCATTACGAAAATAATATACAGGACCTTGGCCCATTTTCCCCGGATATTACTAACATATATAACAAAATAATTTGTTCCTGGACAGCCTTTATAGCCGTAAGTGGAACTCAATTCCAGAGTAAAAAAATAAAATAGCATTAAATTTGGAATTACATATAGTATTTTGTTCTTTAACGTTCATTAAGTTAAAACAATATTATTATGGGTTTTTGTACATAGCCTGTCTACTTTTATTGAATCATAGAATAAAAAGTAATATCATTTCAGGACGCGCAACTGACAGCAGAACTGACCCGTTTACATTCCGGATTTTCACTTCTGGTAGCACTTGATTGCGACAGTACCCTCAGTACTGATAATGACGAAGAAAAATTAACAACGGAGCCCATAACGACAACAGACGATGACAGTATATCTGATGATAGAGAGAATACCAGCCCAGCAGCTCATGGTGAAAGTGTAACAGAAAAAGTAACAGGACAAACTGAGGATGGAGAAGTCTCAACCACTACACAAAGTGGTGATCGCTTAGTGAGAGAATGTGAAGCTACCGGCAAACTCTTCATGAGCGAAAAAATGTCCATTTTAATCAAGGCTACTGCTAGAACAGTCACAATATCAGCTTTAGGGAAAGATTTTTCAGTATTTTGCGATCCTCATGACGCAATATGGGCTAAAACTGTTAATGAAATCATAGTATTCGGTTTAGATGATGAAAAGAACAATTATGATGATTCAAGAGTTGTTAAGATGACAATAGATTTGTGCGAACTGATGGTTAAAGAAGAAATCTCTTCTCGTTACCTTGGAAATTAAATTATTGGTTTATTCAATTGCATTTGTCAAAATGTTAGGTTTGTTAACATAGATACTTAAGCATTAAGGTACTGTTACTCTCAAAAATGTTCATAAATCAAACGCCAGTCGATTCGTAAACATGCTTGAAATGAGCATGCTAATTTTGCAAAATTCCGACACACATGCTAGTAAGTGACAAGTGTTTAATTAAAGCATGCTTTCGTGCTTGATTTGCTTTTTAGTTCTTTAATGTTGTTATAGACTATACTTATTTGGGTTTGTAAATATGAGTAATTGAGTATTGCTCTCCACACAGGAGCGAAATATGACAGCAGAATAGGTTAGATGACTAATTTTTATTTTTATGTCTGTCTGGTAGATTATTTCAAAACATTAGACACGTATTTTTTATTTTTTTACGGAAACGAATAGTTTCGAAGATATATTGATTTGAAATGTCGCATGACGTCACTTCTTACATAGAAGTGAGTCAAGACATTTTAAACTTGGATTCGTTATATCTAAGTATCATTTTATTATATATACAAAACAAAATAAAAAATACGTGTCTAATATTTTTGCATTACCTAACTTACGGACTAATTAGATTTTTAATTTTCATACCCTGTCATCATCCCTATTATAAAACTACAGAACTTTGCAAGTTATTTTATTATAGGCTAACCTAAACTAGGTTTACCATGGATTTACCCGTGTACCCCTTTATTAAAAAGTTTGCAAATGTGTCCAATTTATTTATGGTCTAATGGGAACTTATTTTAGCAAGTAAGTCTGACTTTATAGCACTTTCAGCTTTATTTCTATTTCTCAATATATTTTATACGTATTATTATAAAATACAAAAAATATATTTTGCTTTTTATTTAACCGTTATCAATAATATCGTTTGATTCAAGGTTTGAATTTGAATATCGTAGATTTATATAAAATAAAATTCTTGTGGTACCTACTTGAAAATAATTGAAATGTCACACTGTGGCATTTGATTTCGTTTGTAAAATGATTTATTTCCAATCATAGAGGCAATCAAGTGAACATGAGAGCTGTGGTTTGATCCCCAAATCATGCAAAATGTGAATAAATACATTAGTTTTAAAGTACCAAAATTCGGTTACCATCAGGTGATCCGTCTGCTCGTTTGACTCCTATTCCATAAAAAAGTCGCGGAGAACCTAACGTGTAACCGGGGCTCCGGCTCGACGTGCAGGAGAAGGAACGGGGTGGTTTTTAGTCAGTAAGAGTCTGACACTCCCTTCCGCCTCACCCAGGCGGGAGCAGTCATTCGATGATTTTCCCCCCTTAAAAAAAAATTCCATAAAAAAAAGTATACAATTGTGCCAGGTGTATCATCATCATCATCATCAACAGCCTGCAAATAGCCACTGCTGACTAAAGGCTCTCACACGGAGATTTAAGGCAGCCTCCTATTACACCAGACCCGTAACTGACGAAAAGCAAATGTTAGGTACTTTGAATATGAACACTCCTCTACCTAACCCTCTAGGAAAAGAAATGCGTATTACATAACGTCAAACAAGAAATATACAGGATGACTTATAACTTGAAGTATTCCTCTCCGGAGGTGATAATACAACTAATTACAGAAACTAGCCACTTTGGTAATAGGGACTAATTTTATAGGAAATTTCTAGTATTAATACCGCCTGAGGGTAAGAAATAAGTTTGACTGCGTGGTTGGTGCGGTGGTTGGGCAACCGGCTGCCGCGCAACGTGTCGCGGGTTTGATTCCCGCACGGAACAACACTTTGTGTGATCCATAAACTGTTGTTTCGGGTCTGGGTGTCATTGTGTATGTGAACTTGTATGTTTGTAAACGCACCCACGACACAGGAGAAAATCCTACAGTGGGGCAATGCTTTATTAAAAAAAAAAGTAAGCAATAACAATACGTCAATTTACCAGTCACCCTGTATGATAGACTATTGGTAAGCAATACCAAGCAAAATACACTAGTAAGCAAAAAAATGGAACCACTACTTTTTTAAATTGTATCACACCCTCCATAGCTTTAAAACAGTTATACCTTTAAAACCAAAATGCTCTCATTTTAACATAACATCACGCCTTTTATTCGTGAAGGGGTAGGCACATTACTCGGTTATCGAACCCGAGACCCCTTGCCTGGCAGTCGCACTTGCAACCACTCGGTCAACTCATTTTCAGGCAGTCTCGTGTATCTCATTTTAAAGGTAACCCAATTGTCTTGATATGACTTACGTTACCCATTAAGAATTGTTTAGTCGATTTTAGTATTTAGTCTAGGCTCGGGAGTCGCGAAGAACCTAACGGGTAACCGGGGCTCCGGCTCGACGTGCAGGAGAAGGAACGGGGTGGTTTTTAGTCAGTAAGAGTGTGTATAACACTCCCTCCCGCCTCAACCAGGCGGGAGCAGACATTCGATGATTTTCCCCCCTTAAAAAAAAGTCTAGGCTCGGATGCAAATTCCTTAACATTTCCAATTTTATTGTACAATGTAGTAACGATTATGACGAAACATATAGATACATTTTGAGGTTACCTTTAGAAGTTAATAAAATATTTATATCAGAAAATAGACACTAGTCGCTCCGTTCCTCTGCTAACTGCTTCCAGGTGTCCCGAAAAATAAAAAATATTCAACATAAAAGTACTGAAAGACTCAAGGCAAAATCTAGTTATAATAGATAACTAAGGTAAAAAATATTAAGGTCCTTAATAAATCACTTCAAAAGGTAACTCCAAGGTCCCTCCCAATTTGAAGGACTCTGATGAGTTATTGTTAGAAAAGTTTTTAGTTACTTGGATATTTTATATCAACCTGTATTCATACATACAGAAAGGTAAGGTATATGATCAACGATACGTGATGAAAATAATTGAAAGGTTAATCTTAAACTGCCTCATTGGCCGAGTGGTCGCAAGTGCGACTGCCGGGCAAGGGGTCTCGGGTTCGATTCCCGGGTCGGGCAAAGTATTACTGGGTTTTTTAAAAATCTCAGTAGTAGCACGGAGTCTGGAAATGTGCCCGGTATATGGCAATAGGCTCACCCCCTATTACATGGGACTCATAACATAAATAGTGAAAAGTGGGTGTTACATTGTACAGTGGCATAATGTGCACCTCTGCCTACCCCTTCGGGGATAAAAGGCGTGATGTTATGTATGTCAATGAGCACGATTTCATATTTTCTAATAGATAGCTTGAGGTTTGATGGAACCTCAATTACGTCAGCCAAAGGTCCTCTATTTATTTATTTATTTATTTATATATGCTTTATTGTACACATTTAAGTAGCTTAAAACAAACAATTCAAGTAAATATGCGTACAATGGGCGGTCTTATCACACAATGGTGATTTCTTCCAGACAACTTTTGGATGGAAATATTTATAATAAACCAGATAAGGGGTAGTTAAGTGTACAATAAAAAAAGACAAAATAAAAATACCTACAATACAACCTACAATAGATAGAATATACTTGCAGTATATAAAAAAGAAATACATAAATATATTTATATAAAAGAAAGTCGTGTTAGTTACACCACTTATAACTCAAGAACGGCAGAATAGATTTGGCTGAAAATTGGTAGGGAGGTAGCTTAGAGCCAGGAGACCGACATATGATACTTTTTAACCAACATTTTTTTTTACTTTTTACCGAAAATCACGAACGGGGACGGGAAAAATGGGATTACGCGTACGAAGTCGCGGGCAGAAGCTACTAATATATAAAAATACAATAAGCTATGTGTGAGTGAGTGTGTGTATGTTGTGTATCTCTACTACGGAACATAGGTCTTTTTCTACCAATAAATAATGGGTTCCAGAAGTTCCACATCGGCCGGTTAGAAGCGACTTCAACAACAATAATATCAACAGCCTATAAGAGGCCACTGCTGACCAAAGGCCTCTTCTCAGACGGAGAAGGTTTGAGTATTAATCACTACGTTTGCTTAACTCGTCGAGTACCGGTTTTATAGACACAATTAAAGAACAATAGGTCGCGGTCACCGGTGACCGCTTGGTGTTTGACAGTTTAATGCGGGTTGGCTATTTCAAACTTATAATTAGAAATAATAAACCCAGGTTTCCTCACGATGTTTTCCTTTATCGTTTGTCAGTGGTGTCTAGATATCTTAGATAAAAATATCTAGTGTCTAGATATCGTAAATACATATCACTCGGAAAAGACACATTGGTACTTGGTAGGTTTCGAATACGCTCTCTCATGCATAAGAAGCGGGCGTCTTAGACCTTCGGGCCACCACGACAAGAAGCGGACTTAGAAGCTACTTGCACGTCAGATACTTCATACTTTTAACTTTAGGATCGAAATAAAAACCATGAACAATATAGTCCTGGTACTTGAGACCACTAAACGAATGAAACACTAATGTCCAAATACTTAAAAGCTACTCAATTTGAAATCGTGCTTAATAGGATAGATGCCTAATTTTTATTTTAATATCCGTCTAGTAGATTAATTTAAATGATTAGACACGTATTTTTATATACGAATAGTTTCGACGATATATTGATTTGAAATGTCGCGTGACGTCACTTCTATGTTCATTTTATACGTAGAAATGACGTTTTAGCCTCCACTCCTAAACTTTAATTCGTTTCATCTAAATATTGTTTTATTATACGACAAAATAAAAAAATACGTGTCTAATATTTTTTCATTACCTAAGTTACGGACTAATTAAATTTTTAATTTTCATACCCTGTCATCATCCCAATTATAGCTCCATCCCACTACAAATCCTTAGTAAAATGACAGAGATGGCACGACATTTAAGTACAAGTTAAAATTGAGTAGCCTTTCAGTATTCGGGCGTTAATGCTTCAACTAAAATGTTTGCAGCAATTTGAAGTACTCTTTGACTTCGCTCTAACAGCATGCACTATACACAAGCCCAACCCACAAGCGAAATTAGACCTAAACTGTATAGACATAAAGAATAAAATATGAAAACATCGTCAGTATCTCCATCGATACAATGTTCGATATAATATTCTATATTCTTAGCAATATGGTTGAGAGTAAATTGTAGGTACAAATCTGATTACGTAGGAAGCCTTAGCAAAATGTTGGTTTTACATCACGACTATAATCTTACGAAGGGGTAGACAGTTGGCATACACATGTCTAATTGTATATCATAATATAGATATTACACCCATTGTAATGGGGGAGTAACTTTGGTCTTCCTCAACCTATAAGTGACACCTAACAGTACAAGTAACCTATTATTTTAGGAACTACGATACGCTAAGTAACTTTTAGTTAAGAGATGGTCTAGGGGTTATTGATGAAGACGGCCGTTAATATACCTACGCAGATTCATTCACTACAAATGCTATTAGGTACAATTTAATCATATTTCATGATTGCCATAAAACAGGTCTTTCATAAGAATCTAACATTTCGCGCTTAAGTTAACACGACAGGTGTACATCCCACGCCCTATCTCACTAAACACGCTTCTTAACTGTCAAAATAAAATATAATTACTTACTTGCACACAATAATTTAACATAGATACAATGTGTAAGTACATATATTCGTCAACCAATCAAATACTTTCAATTTTTTGGCAAGAAAAACAAAATGCTATCGATTCAACTGTTATTTGTATCCATGCCAACGCATAAACAGAATGTTACTGGTCGTAGGCAATTATTTTATCGGCAATGATGCAATTAGTGGGAGATCAGTACACGACCCCTTTATCTTAACACAGTAGAATAGTCTTGTGTGTTCGTTCTCTATTCTTACACGCGCTTTCGTAATAGACGGTACTTTTTACGTAATACAACGGCACAATCAATAAACAAGTATAGCTGACAGTGTTTACTTGTGTTTGCGTATTTACTGTATCATGGATAAGACCGCGGACACTTCCATTGCGGGGGACATAGATTATGTCCAGTTGACGTCACAGTGAACTCAGATAAATCTTCATTTACATCAAATAACAATTTACTTTGTGGTGGAACGCGGCCAGTGAAGGAAGTCTTCACTTTCGACACGAATCTAATGAAACCTGAGAACGAGTTAAAGGAACCCACAGAAGAACCACGCAAGAGAAGTTTCAACAACCCTGGTGCCAGAATGCCGAACATCAAAGTATTTACCGGGAGCTCACATCCTGAGATCGCGAAGAGGATTGCTGCCAGGCTTGGCCTCAACTTGGGGAGAGCTACAACCAAGAAATTTAGTAACAAGGAAACCAATGTTGAGATCGGTGAATCAGTCAGAGGTGAAGATGTGTATATTGTACAAAGTGGCTGCGGAGAAATCAATGACAACCTTATGGAGCTCTTCATCATGATCAACGCGTGTAAAATCGCATCAGCGTCCCGTGTAACAGCTGTAGTTCCCTGCTTCCCGTACTCCAGACAAGATAAGAGGGAGAAGAGCAGAGCACCAATCACAGCAAAATTACTCGCCAACCTAGTGTCAGTGGCTGGTGCCGACCACGTCATCACAATTGACCTCCACTCCTCACAAATCCAAGGATTCTTCAACATTCCTGTTGACAACTTATATGCTGAACCTGCTATCACAAAATGGATTAAAGAAAACATTCCTGATTGGAAGACCAGTGTTATGGTGTCACCAGATGCCGGTGGTGTGAAAAGAATGACAGCTATTGCAGACAGACTGGATATTGACTTTGCTATTATCCATAAAGAGAGGGAGAGAGCACATGAAGGCGATTCGACTGTCCTCGTGGGATCCGTTCAGAACCGGACAGCGATAATGGTGGACGATTTAGCAGACACTTGTGATACAATTGTCAAGGGAGCCGAGGCATTGCGTGAGGCCGGAGCCACTAAAGTATACGCGATACTGACTCACGGAGTATTCGCTGGAAATGCTATTGAGAAGATTAATAACTCATGTCTCGAGGGCATCGTAGTAACAAATACGATCCCTCAAGATACTAATATGAAAATGTGCCCTAAGATACAAACTATTGACATATCTGTGATGCTAGCCGAGGCTATAAGGCGTACACATTACGCAGAATCGGTCTCTTATCTGTTTACAAATGTGCCTTATTAGAATTTCTTAGTGTATAAAAAGTAATTATTTTTCTTTACGTGTTGCAAATGTTGGAAACATTTATTACTCATTGTTAAGAATCTAATAATTATAAGTGTATTTAATAAATGTACCTAAAATACATTTGTTGTGGAATTAATGTATTTTATATAGTCTACTTTCTAGTTCCATAATGTTCCTACAATTGTTTTGATTTGATAAATATATTATGTAGTTGTTGTTAGTGAGTTCTCTTTATCTTTTTTCATGAAATTGTTTTTTTTTATTAAGTATGTCAGAATAGCTATTATTATATAAAGATGAAACCTAAATATATTTGGTTCTTTTATTGTTCAAGGCTAAAGAAATTTAGGCAATAGACGTAATAGTAGGTAATAGGTCAATCATAGGTAATCACAGATAGTACGGGAAATGAATGCGTGCTGAATCCACGTGTAACTCTTTTTTATTACTTCTTACAAATCTGTCAATTTCATTTATTGGATTTTCGACTTTAAGTTAATATAATACAGTTGAAGATGTAATATAGAAATTTAACCGAAACGGATAGGTTGACCTACCGGCCATCATATACAAATTATTCTATTTTGTTAGAAGATTAGTTCTTTCATGTTTTCATCTGTACATATGTTAAAATAACTTAGATTAACAGGTTTATTTTTAAGATTTTTCATTAGTATTTCTCAAGGAGATTTGAATCATTGAGTGAAAACGACGGTGTCTTTTATTGGTGTTTATAAATATTTAAATTAGAGGAAAGAGGTTAAGTAGTACCTTCCTACTTTTTTTAAGGTAGGAATTTCATCGAATGGCTGAATTTGATGAGGGACATAACATAACATCACGACTTTTATCCCCGTAGGGGTAGGCAGAGGTGTACATTGTGACACTGTACAAAGTAACACCCACTTTTCACTATTTATGTTATGAGTCCTATGTAATAGGGGGTGAGGCTATTGCCGTATACCGGGCGCATTTCCAGAGTCCGTGCTACTACTGAGAATTTTTTTAAAACCCAGTAATACTTTGCCCGCCCTGGGAATCGAACCTGAGGCTAACGAGGCAAGCAGAGAACTCAACTAGTTTCAAGCCTACTCTAGCAGAGCGACAGTCGCCGCGTCGCGGGTCGCGGAATGCTGAATATGAGCCTCTTGCATAGAGGCTCATATTCATGAGTACCAAATCATGAAGATCTTTCTATAAAAGTCCTTCTAAACTTAAAGTCTAAACTTAGGTATGTACCTAAATGAAACTAATAATGGTTGAGTAGGTGGTCTGTGGACTGAGTCTAGATGACAGATGCCCACGAAAGGTCGACATTTTCAATGAATTTTGAAAATCAAAAATACAGGTGGGTGGGTGTAATCTTCTAAAATGACGTCTATGGTGCTGAATAATGGCTGGCCAAAAAGATTGAGTAGGCAGATAATATTTTCAGGTCCAATTTTTTTTATTCAACTATTTATTTATCCATAAAGAAAATAAATGTCAAGATAAACTATTTATAGAAATAGTAGGTAATATATATGACAGCATCGACTTGGTTACGATGACGTCAATGGTCTACTATCTTCCTACAAACCTTCAAGAAAATAGCGTATTCCTTTTTAAAAGGTCGACAACGCCCCTTTGATTTCTCTAGTGTTGCGGGTGTCAATGGGCGGCGCTGATCGCTTACCATCAGGTGATCCGTCTCGTTTGCCTACTATTCCATAAAAAAACTGATTTTTATAACTTTAACTAGCTGAAACCGCAACTTCGTCTGCGTTTTTCTAAAATAATAGTTGCTTAAGTTACTCCTTTGTACATTAGTTATCTGCAAGTAAAAGTTCCGTTGAAATCGGTCCAGCCATTCCAGAGACTAGCCAGTACAAACAGACAAACAAACAGACAAAAATAATTATATTCATATGAATGTAGCAAAAAATGGTGATATTATCTATACCAGGGCTGTCCAAACAAAGGCCCGCGGGCCGCATGCGGCCCGCAGCTTGATTTCATGTGGCCCGCGAGCCCGCGCCCGCAACACACTTTAAACTGTCAAACACCAAGCGGTCACCGGTGACCGCAACCTATTGTTCTTTAATTGTGTCTATAAATACGGTACTGGACGAGTTAATCTCAACATCTTCATCTTATGTGCAACAACAATAATAAAATTCAGTGTATAATTTGTGTGCAAGTTTAGTCTGTAAGTAAAGAATACAATGTTAAACGTCATTATACAACTGAAAATATTTTTCTGGCCCTCCAGCTTTTCTAAGAAATTTAATTAGCCCGCGAGGGTGTATAGTTTGGACACCCCTGATCTATACTATAGAATGATACAGACATTACAATTTTATTTATCTGTAGAGATTAATTCTCAATTTTAATGCAAGGTGTTAAGGTTTCAAATTCGAAAAATAAGTCTAAGAAAACAAATGTAAGTAAGAGGGCAATGACCAATATCACATCATTTTTATGCTACGTAAGGTCAAGATTAAAATAACATTGTTAAATAACCTTAATGTAATGAAAAATAAGAGTTGCTATGATAAGTTAGGTTAGCTCCTGACTTCGTAATCTTATTAGAAGTAGGTAAATTATAATCATCCTACTAGTGACTGAGACTGCCTCCTTGGCCGAGTGGACGCAAGTGCAACTGCCGGGTAAGGGGTCTCGGGTTCGATTCCCGGGTCGGGCAAAGTATTACTGGGTTTTAAAAATGTCAGTAGTAGCACGTAGGTAGTCTGGAAATGTGCTCGGTATATGGCAATAGTCTTACCCCCTATTACATGGGACTCATAACATAAATAGTGAAAAGTGGGTGTTACATTGTACAGTGTCATAAACATAATGTACACCTCAGCCTACCCCTTCGGGGATAAAAGGCGTGATGTTATGTTATATTAAGAAAATAAAATATATAGGTACGAAATTGGTGACATAGCTGGTTACACCTACTTCATAAGCCACAAATAAATATTAGGCCAAAGGTTATTCAGAGATAACGTAAGAATAAACAATACAGAATTGCGAATAAACATTTTGAAGTTCGATAACATAATTATTATGAGAATACTTCGTTCGTCAATGAACAAGCAATTACCTACTTAATTAGGAATAATAACTTGTTTCTTTATCTTATTTAAGGCTCAAAATAAAAAAACTTAACCAGGATTCATCACCAAACCTTGAATAAGACAAGTTCCCACAAAATCCCAAATTGAAAATAAATATTTATGTATTGTATATGTGCTGCCATCTATTAGATTTAATAGAAACTATTAAGTTATCAGCTGTTGTAAAACAGATAAACAAAATGACAACGACCTCCCTCAAAGATTCCATGCAAACAAAACTGATAAGTGTTGAAGTGAAGTGTATTTTTGTGAATTAAAAAACTTTAACATTATTTAGGTACGAGTTTTAATTTAAGAATTTGACAATATTTTATAAGGAAAAATATTGTCAAAAGGTAAAGGTAAGTTTAAGCTTTTTCATTTAGGTACTTAGGTACAGATTATATAGCAAATAAACATAAAATTCAGTTCTGAGAAAACCTGTTCATAATTCTATGTCCTTTTGTTGTATTTAGTTTCTACCACCAAGTTTATCTTTGCTACCACCAAGTCTAAGACTAAATTTCTAGGTTATGTATGTATTTAAGAGATAGATATGTTTGAAATCATTCCTAATGTTTCAAATTGACCTTTGGCAAACTTATCAATCATTTTATCTTAATATATTTACTGTACGTAGATAAAAATACAATTATACTTCGTACATCAAATAGATGTAGGTACAAAGTTCAGAATGTTTTTTGTTAAGTAAACGCACCGTTAATACAATGTTTATTGGGCACTAAGCTACCTACCTATCTATCCTATACTGTGCAATTAATAGGCTTTGTTTATGATGGGGGAAAATGATTTAATGACTTCTCCCGCCCGGGTGAGACGGGAGGGATTGTCAGACTCTTACTGACTAAAAATCACCCCGTTCCTACTCCTGCACTTCGAGCCGGAGCCCCGGCAACCCGTTAAGTCTTCACCGAGTCACCCGTGCTCGCCGTCCGCAAACCCGATTCGATTAATAGCTGGGATAGGATCGGTGCCTAAAATCGAAAATTTGGTATTTTCTTTTCAACTAATAGGAAGTTACACATCACACACAACCCAGGTAACCAATGTTTATCTACTCGAATGTCAAGTGGCAATACTCTTATGTAGGTAGAGCCCTACAGAAGATCCAAAGACCAGGGGGCTTACTCTTGAATTCAATTCCGATCGATCGACCTTGGTATTGTGAAATTTCTTACGTTTTGGACTATCGGTATAGCAGACTGCTGATCGTGAAATATCTACCTGCATATCTTCAAAGATACGACCTCGTTATTTTTCTTTTATAGCAAAAATGCCGCCAATCCTCTACAAAGCTGATGGCAGTCCCCCAGCGAGAGCAGTGATGATGGTCATAGATATTTTAGGGATAAACGTCGAACAGAGGAATTTGAATCCAGTATTGCGAGAACAAGATGCTCCAGAGTTTGTAAAGGTGGGTGACTACTCTATTTTTAATTTTATACTAACTAATATCGTCCCGTTTATCATGGCCCTAAGAAAGAAAGAAAAATAATTTATTCAGCACATGCTGTGCTTGATGCGAATTAGTTGTAGGTAAGTAGGTTCTAGTTTTCTGTTTTGTTTAGACTCAACAATTATTTATTGATTTTAAGTCGTAAATAAATAGCGATGACTTGAATTTATTCACGTTTTTGAAAGTTTTGACTACTCTTTGACTATGTATATTTCTTTAAATACACACGACATTGTTATATTTCCAGAAAAATCCCATGAGAACCATCCCTTGGTTGGACGAAGGCGACTTCTGGCTGGCTGACAGGTAAAAATACATATGCTACCCTTCCAATAAAACAAAATAGAAATCCTTTCGACTAATCCATTGACTGCCTCGTGCCGAGTGGGAGCAAGTACGACTACCCGGTAAGGGGTCTCGAGTTCGATTCCCGGGTCGGGTAAAATATCACTAGGTTTAGAAAAAATTTCCAGTAGTAGCACGGAGTATGGAATTGTGCCCGGTATGTGGCAATAGGCTCACCCCCTATTACATGAGACTCATAACATAAATAGTGAAAAGTGGGTGTTACATTGTACAGTGGCATTACCTAAGTGCCATAATGTGCACCTCTGGCTGGTGTTTAGGGATAAAAAGCGTGATGTGATTTATGTCTTAATCTGTTCTGTCTTCGGTTACGTTAGAATCCTCTTCATAATAGTGTTAAGAAAAAATAACCGTCGATTTTCACCTTGCTCACTGTCGAGCTCCTGGTCATTCTAACAGCGACACAGAGTTCATAAAATTATTAAAGTTATTTTTTTTTTCAGCCACGCCATTATGATTTATTTAATACAAAAATATGGTAAACCTGAACATTCCAAGTTGTACCCGACTGACAGCAGAAAGCGCGCCACTGTCCATCAGAGGCTGTTCTTCGATTGTGGGATCCTGTTCCAAAGACTAAGAGCTGTTATGGTAAGCTTTTAAATAACGTAGGTACTTGATTTTTTTTACCAATAGTTGAATTAACCTTTTGAACGCCAGAGCAAAAACGCATGAACTTGCCCTCAACGCCAGGCCACAAATTCACCGCAAATGCCTACGAAAAAAATAGGGATTCCAAAACTTCATCGATAATCAATTTTATTTTCATTTTCGTCTTTAATTTCGAAATATAATGTCCTTATAACATTGAAATTTAATTCAACATTACATTTCTTCCTATTAAAGTAATAGTTATACCATAGTATAAAGAACAAAGTAGGTTATCTTCATACAAATGCTCCGCGCGCGGCTTATATGTGTGCGCCATAGTATCTATGCGTCGACGCACGCACACTTTAACAAAATCTCGACCCGTTTCTCAGTGCGCCAGGCAAGGCTGACACTGTACGAGGTTCGCGCGCGCTTCACGGCTTTTCGGCACTGTTCAATGAAATAAAAAATGTCTGATAATCGTAGAAGAACGTATTGCTGTGTGTTTGGGTGTCTTAATAATTAATCGATTCCAGAACTGTCTCTGTTCAGATTAGGTACCTATTGAACAGGAAAGGTAAGCTAGTCACTTTTTCTAGCATAATATAATTTGTAGGTACTTGATGATGAGATACTAACTTACTTATTCTTACTCTTATCATTCTTCATAGTTCCTACTCAACCAGAAATGTAATTACCTACTATACTTAAATATTATAAAAAAATGTGGTATTGTATTGTTTATTTCACAGTTCATCTGATTTGTTAAGAGCGTAGCCGAGTCGCATTTTTCCATATAAATGTATTCCAAAATTTACTTTCTGAATACTATGTATAGAGCTAAAGTTTATTTTAAGAAGTTAATAATCTTTTTATAAGCTTTTAATTTTTACTAAATTTATAAATTGATAAAATATTCAATCATAATATGCTTTTCATTTCATACATTTAGATCAAGTGCTGCTTGTTCGAAAATATTAACTAAAAGTAAAAGTGACAACCCTGGGGATCAACGCAAGAGTAGGCTAATAACTCGGCGGGCGGCCTTAGATAACCTACTGTGTTCTTTATACTATGGTTATACACTATTTACAGACTTGTATAATACCGTTATAACAGATATGAGACTACAATATATTTAAATATAATAACTGTAGGTACAACACTATTCTTGATCTGCTGTCTTCATATTGTGACCATGGCGTGGACGGCCCGCCATTTTAATAACTACTTCGCTTCCGAAATAAGGATGTGGCAACGTAATATCTCGTTTGTCGATGTTCTAGTACAATATTATTTTATAATAAATGAAACACGTTTTTTAAATCAGATTTCTAATTCCGAATGTAACAGGTACTTAAAAATATATGATTGAAATAGGTTAAGAAGGTAAATAAAAACTATGAAAAAATAGAAAATTTTAATAAAATGTTATACAGTATGTACTATGTATACATGTTTTTAAATATTAAGTTCTATAAACCTGGCATAAAAAGTAACAAATTAAAACAATTAACGATTATATATAAAAGACCGAAAATTCTTCGTCATCTGAGACTCCTTCTAATATGCGAAGAAGTTCTTCCGTAGTCATTAAATTCCCACTCATTATAATAGTCACTTAATATAAATCTTGAACTCGATATCACAAGTAAATAATCATAAATATTATTCAAGCACTTCACTAATTTCTGGTCGCCGCGCTTGTGACGTCACGATATTGTCGTCTAGTCGTGACCATGGCGTACAGGGTACTGATAATTCGGGTTGCGTTAGGGATGCGCTTGAGTTGGGATTAGTGAATATCGAAATTCGACCCAACCAAATTTTATTTTTGACTATGTAGCTTATTGAATGATTTTTAAGACTGGTTTTATAAAATTAATGCTGCTTTATCCTAGTACCAAATTATACCTAAAATAATATATTCCAGAGGAAAGTTTCGAATCGATCTTTGATTTGAAATAATGATATTATCCAACATGCGCTACATCACTAGCGGTCACGCAGTTATGACTCTGGCGTGTGAGGACATTCTTTTTTCAGAGTTTATTTCTTTCTTTTTAACGTAAAATTTCTCAATATTTATAATGCAATTTAATTAGTTTTATGGAAATAAATAAATTTTGGACCTTCTATTTTACAGGTATATAAATAAATAGGCATTAAAGTAATGTTTAAATAGTTTATTTCGTGTTTTAATGTACCGCTGTTTTTGTCACATATTTGTGTCGTTGGCGCTCAGGGACAGTTTTCGCTTGTCACGTATTTGTGACCCTGGCGCTCAAAAGGTTAAAGAACTAATCAATAATTGGGTAGTTTCCAGGGTATCAAAATTAAAAATCTAAATAGTCCGTCGGTTAGATAATGAAAAAATATTAGACACGTATTTTTTTTTATTTTCTCATATTATGTGGCATTACTTAAATAAAATGGCGCTGAGTTTAGGAGTGGGGTCGTTACGTCATAACGTGCCACAAAATGTGACACACTGTGACGTCACACGATATTTCAAATTAATATATAGTTGAAAGTATTTAATTTAGTGAAAAAAATACGTGTCAAGGTTTTAATTTAATGTACCAGACGGATATTAAAATAACATTTAGGAAACTACCCTATTATTTTGCGTCTTACCACACCACATTTGACGAGGTAACCCGACCAATTTAAAGCCACGATATAGTCATGAGCAATGAGCATTGCACGACGCTCGCCGCAACTTTTAACCTTTTGAATGCACCGATATGAGATACAATTGAAAATACATTGTGCCTCGCGTGGATCCACGTCTTAGACACGAAAGGTTAAGGGAATATTGGTGCATTGTGCGTTGAAAATATCCATATTATTTTAAAATCTTTTGCACATTGTGCAACACAAACCTTCATAGGTTCACTTTAATTCATATTATTTTTCTATACTTTTTATAGTAACTATCGTGAGACGTACTAAATTAACTAAAATCGCGGGTTACTCAGTAGAAACTAGTAGAGCTTTACTCAGTATATTCACGCGATTTTAGTTAATTTTCTATACTTACCCTACTCACAACTCCTTCATAAAGTACAAAAACTGATCTTTCTATTCATATTTTAAGGCGCCAACATACATGGGAAGACTGACAGAGATGTCAAAAGGCATGATCAGGAACATTGTGGACGCATACGCAATGCTTGAAGATTATTTATCAGAGAACTTGTATATGGCCGACGAAGTCATTACGATTGCGGATTTAAGCATAGCTTCTACAATGGCAACACTGGTTGGATTAGTTGCGATTGATGAAGAAAGGTTTGTTAACACTTTTTATAAGAATTGTTATTTATATACGGGTAGTAATAAAAGCTCATATAAAAAGAGAAGGATTGTCCTTACCCAAAATATTAAATCTACTGCCTAAAATACAAACTTTCCGACTACTTTTCTCCGAATAAGATTGATGAAACGACCGAATGAGATACTGAAATCTTCGAAAAATAAACATTGCTATAATACTAACCTAACCTAAATCGTCTATTGTCGGTAACTTAGTAATTTTGTCAGAGGTTCAGTATTCTATCCGGAAGTTTAGTTTTGTTATTCGAAGATCCATTTTTATAGTCGGCCACAAATCGCTGTAGATTAACTCGTCGAGTACCGGTTTTATAGACACAATTAAAGAACAATAGGTCGCGGTCACCGGTGACCGCTTGGTGTTTGACAGTTTAATTTGTTTTTCGGAACCATTATTTTTATATTCTGGTCATTTATTCAATGTTTATTTTTTATTGTATGAGGCACCGCTCAGACCCTTTTTTATTTTTAGCCCGATGGTAAATTATAAACGGTTGTCTGACTTGTTGAGTTTCTCTCGATTGAGGTTAGGACCTAAACAGTTCATTATTAAAATTTCTTATTTTTCAGATTCCCCAAATTAACACAATGGTACAACAACATGAATAAACAGGATTATTGTATAAGAATCAACATTCCCGGCGGCAAAGAACATTCCGATGGGCTGAAGGCTTTGATGGCAAATACTAAGTTTCACCAAAAATCTAAGATATAATCCTAAGATAAAGTATTGTAATGGTAAAGGTTTGTTAAAGGAGATTTTTACTGAGATTTTGAAAAATCAAAACAGCGAAACTGACATAAGATAAAATGTATATTTTGTATCATTAATCATTAATAATATTAAATAAATCCAGCTATTTATATTACAAGGTTCAAAGCAGGGTTTCCAAAAACAAAATACAGTATAAGAATCACAGGTTTTTTATTTCAATAACTAAAAAGAAATGCAAAGAATTTTTCAACTTTACACTCCAGTAACGTCTAAGGCTACCATATGGATAACTTTTCTGAGAAAATTAATGATTACAAAAACGTTACACAGTTAAACATTTCCTATAAGTCTTGTATAGTCTCTCGCGAACGCCCGCACTGTCAGAACAGTAGCACTTAACGATTACATACACGTACAATACTCGCGATATCGTCGAAGTTCCTCAGTCATACTTAACACATACATAATTGCGTCTCAATAATAAACGAACATCATAATGGAATCATAATGCAAAGTTCACGCAAACTCATAGTCACTTATCAAATTTGGAGTGGTTGTTTGTTGTTTGGGCGTTACCGTCAATGTTGCACGTTTAGTCTTAAATGTAACGGCAGGGAGGTGGCTTGCATTAGCCGTCCTCCTTCGGTGGTGTGAACCATCCTGGAAACACACGGAAAGAATGTATGTTAGTCACCAGAATGTACATTGAAATATTTATTTATTAAACACGTTAACCGCCGCGTAGGTCACCGGTGACCTACGATAGCGGAGGATTTGCCTTCAATATTTTTCTGTCGGCAGTCTTTAATGTACACAATTTGATTACACAACGGTACAGAAGGCGAAATTAATGCCATAAATATTAGGATAGGAATATTTATTTGATCAAAGTAATTGTAACTTTAGCTAAATATGTTTATATAGTATCTTTTACACTATAGGACACTTTCCAAAGCATCATTGGGAACAATCACATATGAAATTTACGAATGCCTTCAATACTCAAAAAAACCGAAATTAAACATTTAATTAAATGCTGCATGAAAAGCACAGATTAGGTAATATCTAACACTATCTTTACTTGACAAGTTACACGGTAAAACATATCAATCTAACAAAAATTATACACATAACAGAAAATACACAATCTCACCATTCTTCTCGTGTATCTGCACGAGGCACTTGAAGCTCTGTTGTGCGCGCGCCAAACTGTACTGAGACTGGGACACGACTTTCGTAGCGCCGAACTGAATTCGCGCCTTGCCTTTCACGAGGGTAGCAGCTATCTGCATTATCACGGCTTCTACAGTGTAAGCCGAGGACCAGCCTTGTTTGGTCAGGAGCTCCATGCATATTGCTCCACCAACTAATACGTAGCCTCCTGCAAATTCGATACAAAGAATTCGGTAAGAAATTCAATCATGTACAGCTCAGGAGAGGTTATATACCTCCTCTACAAGAGGGGCTTGCCATAATCTCTACTTGGTTAGAGGTGGAAATCGCAGTTCAAAAAGTTTATTTTTATGGGAGAAGCCGGTAAACGGACAGACGGATCACCTGATGGTAAGCAATTGGCGTCGCCCATGGACACCCAAAAAACCAGAGGCGTTACAAGTGCATTACCGGCCTTTCGGGAATTAGGAATTTGAGGATTGTGGGGAATTCGGGGATTGGGGGATTGGGGAAACTGACGAAGGGGGGTAATTGGATTCCCGGTAACCTCACTCACACGACACTGTTTTCTGTCACACTTTCACAGATCATGTTTATTGGGCAACACTGCTGCCCGTCTCTGTTAGATACGTAATTCCTTAGTCTCTTTCACTCTTAAAACTTTTGCAAGAAGGTTGAGGGTTGGAATAAGACATTAATGTACTTCAATGGTATTATCTGTATGATGCACATCCTAAAATCAGTGATGAAATGTTCCTGATAATGTTAGTTACCACAAATATACCCAATAACAGTGTGCTCGCCGAAACCATATCCATCACCGGCAAGCAGGCGAGTGAACACGGGCCCCAACCGCTAGGCTGTAACTTGGCCATGTAATATTAGATGATCCATGTATAAACTCAACGAAAAAAAAAGTATTAGAAAAAATGATAAAGTAAATGAATATCCCCATGCATTTTGTTAGTGATTAATTGATTTGTGAAGTGAAAATAAGTCCATTATTTACCTGATATTATAGGGTAGACGACCCTCACAAAAGGCGGTTCAAATGGGTATGTTTCTTTGAACATGATGTTCAGCAGTATTGAGTCCTTGCCCTCTTTCTCTTTCAGCACAAGCAGATCATTGTGGAGTGGACTGTCCGGGTCCACGGAACGCAGTCTGATGTTCCACTCGTACAAGGAATCATTTACTAGTTCTGCAATAGACAAAACATTATTGATAATGTAAACTTCTTGGGTAGAGAATAGTGGTAGGTGTCAAAATATTTAAGTGTTTTTGTATAGTTTCAGACATTTCTTTTTTTTATTCTTTAATGGCACCCAAATATTTTTATACATCCTTTGATTTCTGAGAAATAACACTTAGGTACTATTGTCTTTTAATTCGATCAAATCCTCTTTTAACGGTCAAAATTATCTACATAACATAACATAACATCACGCCTTTTATTCCCGAAGGGTTTAGGCATGTGACTTAATTATTGCCACCATATGTAACACTCACTTTTCACTATTTATGTAATGAGTTATGGTGAGCCTATTGCCATATACTGGGCACATTTCAAGACTCTGTGCTTCTACTGAGATTTTTTTTAAAACCCAGTTGTACTTTGCCCGACCCGGGAATCAAACGAGACCACTCGGCCAACGAGGAAAAAATTATTTACTAATGATAAATTAATATCTGAATTTAATAAGATATCGTTTGTTTTTTTCTAAAACTCATTCATCTGTACCGATTACTACGAAGAATACGAAGTTTAATACAAATAACGGGAGCTTTTTGCATCAATCTTCGTCTAACCATCCATCAGTCACGATGTGGTAGATTGCACATTAAATAATTATAGGATGCTACCAATGCGGTTGCATGAGCGACGATGCGTCAAAGGGGTTCGGTTACCATACAATTGCGGTCGACAGAATAAAATATATATGATGTCGAAGAATGCAATGCAACGAAGTAAAATCTATATATATAAAAGAAAGTCGTGTTAGTTACACTATTTATAACTCAAGAATGCTTCAATCGATTTAGATGAAAATTGGCAGGGAGGTAGCTTAGAACCAGGAGACGGACATAGGATACTTTTTATCTAAAAATTTTTTTTTGTTACTTTTACCGAAAACCACGAACGGGAACAGGGGGGAAATGAGATTGCGCGTACGAAGTCGCAGGCAGAAGCTAGTTATATCTAGAGAAGGCAGTCACAATCGGAAACTAAATAAAACTAATTAATTTTATTATCACTACAAAAAAATTGTTACATTGTCTCTAATTACAAAACGTATAAAATATTGCCTGGTACCTAGTTTATATAACACATTAGTTGACAACTAGTCAACTAATTCAATACTTTTTTGGAAATGTCAAAAACTATACTTTTGTATAAATTTCGTACGAAATACCAACTTATGACGTCATAAAAATTTTGCGTCAAATAGCACACTTATTACTTAAAATTAAAACTAAAATCAAATCAATGATTCAATTCAAAAGCTAAAATAATTTAATTTTGTCCTCGGACACCGGTATCCCAATATAATTCATGAAAAATGGGCGCTTTATCAAATAGATACCTGACTAAAGAATATTCTACATAATAATAGATAATTACATAATATGTACATGTAAAAAGCCTGGTAGACATTTTATTGAAGTACAATGGGATGCAACGTCAATAGCCTATAATTGTACGAAGGTCGCGAGGTCAGAGTGAACTCAATTGAACTATTTTATGGACCGTTTGTCAGCTTAGTTTGACACTTTGACAATGCAAATTGTGTGCACTATGAACATGTTTCGCAAACTTATTTTAACTTTAAAGTAACAAAGTACGAGTATGTTGCCAGTTATGTTAATGAAGTTGAGCGAATCCTTAACTCTGTTATAGATCTACGCGAGACACAATGATTTTCTATTATGTCTTAAATACCGACATACAAGAGGTTAGAATATCTTTTAATCGCTTGAATGCCTGTATATGAGACACAATAGAAAATACATTGTATCTCGTGTGGATCCACGTTTAGACACACGACGGGTTAAACATCTTTTTATATCTTCAAAAGTAAATACACGGACAACATTATCGTCAAATGGAAGTCCCATAGTTATGCACTTATGCATATAAAAGGATCGGATGATGTTTCATCGACTTTTATTATGAATCACTTTCTTGACTGAACAGGACCAAGGTAATATAAATCCCTAATTTTAAGTTAAAATTGTAGTATGTATTATAGTATTATTGTATTTTAATATAGGCCTTCGTTGCCTGATATAAATAAAAAAAATAAAAAAGAAATCCCTAAATCCATTAAACGTTTGCTAGCCGCCTGATGCTAAGTAATGACCGTAAATTTTAAACTGTCAAATACCAAGCGGTCACCGGTGACCGCGACGTATTGTTCTTTAATTGTGTCTATAAAACCGGTACTCGACGAGTTAAGAGAGAACAAAGAACTATAACATTTAAGATACATACCAATAGAGTACATATTGTTCTTGAAAGAGCAGGAACGGTATATGTCCCGCAGTTCCTTCATGAGTCTGTCAGTAGCCTGTAGACTGCCAGATACGCTGCCTGACAAGTAATCTGCTCGCTGGTTCTGCCGCAGCCGCTCCAGTGTTGCTAAATGCTCTGTTTCCATATCATCCTGGAATTAAAAATGAGCTAAGTATAAGAATTATTGCATAAAATGTAATTAGGTAGTTTCCAGGGTATCAAAATTAAAAATCTAATTAGTCCGTCAGTTACGTAATGAAAAAATATTAGACACGTATTTTTTTTTCTCGTATTAAGTTGCAATACTTAGATAAAATGGCGCTAAGTTTAGGAGTGGAAGGTCTAAATTAATGTACCAGACGGGCATTAAAAAAAATTTAGGAAACTATCCTATTAGGCCTATAGTTGGTTAGGTATTCCTTTTTAATTTTTTTATTTATATACACAAAATGTTAGCTAGTCATGTGTCATCATGTATCTAGTCAAATCGAAAACGACTAAGAAAACACCTAACTCAGTAAGATCCGTGAAATATATAAACTGGAGAAAAAATAAGACCTACAAATACGAAATCATGCACTCTATCATGAGAATTTTATACTTCTAAAACAGAATTCATAAAATATTAATAAGCATCGTTCACATATTTGCGACATAAACAAAATCGACATTAAAACATTACCATAAATAACGTAACAGGTGAATAAAGAACACAATATTAACATATTCAAGTGAAATGCACATACTTAACTCGCCGATAAAACTGGTGAGTTTTTTGAACTTGATGTGGTTACATTATATTTATTATAGCACGCAAATAATAGTAACTGGATTTAAGTCTAATATTTTTATTATACATGTGACGTTTCATCTCATTTGGTATCTGAATCACCATTTTATAATGGTGACTCATAAACATAACTATCACTAACAGTGCAACTGGTCCACCAATTTAAGGTGGCGCAGCGAGCTATGGAAAGGGCTATGCTCGGAGTATATCTCAAGGATAGGATTCGTAACGAGGTGATCCAACAGAGAACTAAAGTTACCGATGTAGCCCCAAAGGATTAGCAACCTGAAATGGCAATGGGCCGGTCACATTTGTCGAAGAACCGATGACCGCTGGGGTAGACTTTTTCTGAAGTGGAGACCGCGTCTAGGCAAACGTAGTGTAGAGCGCCCTCCAGCTAGGTGGAGTGACGATAGTACGTAAAGACCGAGCTCAGTGGCGTGCCATGGAGAGGCTTATGTCCAGCAGTGGACGAAAATAGGCTGTTGATGTTTACCATTATAAAATATATTGATGCTTATTAACTTTTGTAAGCATTTTACCAACTGATGGCAAAATAACAGATATCTATAAAAATACATGTTGTGCTTGCAATCATACAATGCTTCCTTTTCTTGCTACAATTTATTGCCCAAGACTCAAATGACTAAGGAGTGGCGCAATATTATTATATTGTTTGTAAATTCTATCATAAAGTACCCTAAGATGGAATCTAAAAAAGAATTGGGGCAGTTAAGATATGCCTTCTGTAATATCATTTTTAGAAGGTAAACGTACTTTGTTACTGCGTCCAGCATCATCGACCATCTCTAGTGGCAAGTCATCCTCCCCTTCGGATTCGTCCTCCTCGGCTGCCATCTCCTCATCCTCTTCTGTGCCCGATTCGGCACCGTTTGACGTCACGCTGGGAACTCTAGAAACAAGATGGAAATTTAATACTCATTGTTTTAACAATAGTAATTAAAATTAATAAGCATGATACCTACTCTTCATGGTTGTATGTACTATAGGCCCTGGCTTACAAGTTGCAGTGGTTTTGTATTTGTTTTTTTAAAAAACGTTGCCCCGCATTATGATTTTCTCCTATGTCGTGGGTGCATTTACAAACATACAAGTTCATATGCACATGACACCCAGAGCCGAAACAATTATTTGTGGATCACACAAACAGTTGCTCCGTGCGGGAATCGAACCCGCTACACGTTGCGCGGCAGCCGGCTGTCCAGCCACCGCGCCAACCGTGCAGTCAGTGCAGTTTTGGGAGGATTTATCTCAAAAGGGGGGCTAGTTTAACTTATATATTATTCTATTATTTTTGTTACTTTGAGGTAAATTTCTGTTAGCGTATCGGACACATTGCATATGTGGAACATACGTTATATGATCCAACAATTTAAACGAAACTTTACCTTTATTGTACCACTTTTGGTGAGCTGAATCAATGATAGTTTATGTTCAAACTACATAATATGCAAAAGACTTGCTTATTTATTTGCTTTTTATAAACTTGAATCAATAAATAAATAAAACAAGCTAAAAACCGATAGAAAATTCTTATAGAACTTCCCTATCTTTAACGTATTGTGTACCTAATGAGGGCAATGTACGCTACTGCGCATCTTGGACGGCTACACAAAGGGTGTCGGTGATCTATGTATGCATGTGAAAGAAAGATATTACGAAATGGGGTATTTCAAAACGAAAACGTACTATAAGTATAAAGAAATACGGTCCATAAAGAAATACCGATTTATTAGATATATTAAATCTGTCAATTACCTATATTTGAATGACAACCTTCCCAAGAATAGTAACAGTTTGTAATTTAAAACCCTAGTTGAACCGGTTTTTAAATGAAAATCACATTTAAACTAAGTCTATTGCCTGTACACGTGCACCTCTACTAAATCCTTAACCCGTCGAGCGTCCGCATTCCTTATGATCCAACGGGTGCACACGTGACATTTGGAGAAAGAAAGAAAATGCATTTATTTGGCCATTGGCACACGAAAACAAGGATCATTACAATAGAAATAAAAAATACAGTCAAAATAAAAACAAAACATTAATAATAGATTTTATAAAAGAGAAAGCAGCATGGAGCATTTTTTCTTATGATCCACCGGGTGCTCATAAGAACGCTCGAGGGGTTAAAGAACAGGGGTCTTAATTATGTTTTTCGGGTTCCTCACGTAACTATTTGACGAGGAACTAGACTGGTTTCTAGCCATACTACTTAGAGACTCATATTCATGAGCAGCATTCCGTGATAAGACAAATTTCTCGTTAAACATTTACGCAAGTAAAGCCCGATTTTTCAATTATCAGTTAATTGTTTTAACTATAGTTTAAAATGGACATTTGACAGTTTTTAATATGGAAGAATTGTCAAATAAGTTATTTCTCAGTTAAAGTTTATCTGGCGTTGGAAAAATTGGCGCTAACTCGAAAAATATTATAATTATTTTTGTATGTCTCACGAAAGTCACTACATAGTATAAAACAAAGTCGCTATGCTTCGATCTTTAAAAGTACGCAACGGATTTTGATGCGGTGTTTTTTATACATAGAGTGATTTTTAAAGCAGTTTTATATGGGCGGGTCGCGCTTATAATATTTAGATATTTTTGTACCTATGTTGACCAGTGTTATTATGAATAAAAAATTTATTTTATTTATTAACAGGCGTTTTTGTATGTATAAGAACATGATGTAGAAATGTTCAAAATGTTATAAATTGTCTCATAGTTAAGTAAACACGCAACAGGAAGAGTTGAAGTGTTTAGCTACGTGCCATAACATAATCAATACACCCACGTATTAGTTACAATGTTGCAAGACACGCAAGATGACTAATTGCCACATTATTTCAGTAAGCATCGCGCCTCGGCCTTGCTCAATTTTCTTAATCGACATTTTACCTTGGGTGTTAGTGTTAAAGACTATTGTTTAATTTGTTAATAGTTTTCTTTATGAATTAGAACATACATTCATAGATAACCTCACAACTGTCTCCTATGGGGGTAGGCAGAGAGTATGGAACGCCAATTGATAAGATTCTTATATACTTCGCTTATTTCTTTCGCTTAATCAACAGTCATCAATCTTTTCATGCATGCTCTTCAGTTAAGGGCATTAGAACAAAATATTTATTTCTATTTAGTAGTTAACGTCTTGTAGCAATTATCATCTTCATCATCACTTCATCAGCGGCATATAAGTGGCTACTGAAGACCAAAGACCTCTTCTCGAATGGAGAAGGTTTGAGCATTAACCGCTTATCTGAGACAATAGAAAACACATTTTGTCTCGCGTATATCTACGTTCCAATATACCACTGGTTAATCACCACACTTGCTTAATGCGGGTTGGCGATTACAAAGTTATGATTAGAAATTGTTGATATGATAAGTTTAATAGGAACTAAATAACTAAATAGGTGAAAAGTGGGTGTTACATTGTACAGTGGCATTAAGAACCGTAATGGGCACCTCTGCCTACCCCTTCGAGGATAAAAGGCGTAATGTTATGTTATGTCATAAGTTCTACAATTTGATGTTTAAATAAACAAGAATATTAAGTATAAAAAACACGTTCAATGCTTTCAATAAGTACCGTATACCTTAGTACCTAGTAAACCTATATTTAGTCATGACTTCAGGCTAAATAGAGGGTTAAACCACCGTATAATCCGCAACCTACTTTTAAAACTATATGCACTTCTGCAAAGAAGGGAATGGTAAAAGAGAACGGAGTCATTCTACCACTGAGTACTCTTCATAGACAAGTTGACATCAATAATGGACTGTCATTATCATTGACATGCATTCTAGTATTGATTACAGTTAGTTTTCAGTCTGCTGAAGTAATTTATTGTCGTGTAACTGTAAATGTGTATCAGACTTGTATTGTTATTATGATTTGGAATAGAGTAATAGGTTAAAATAGTCTTGAGAGCAAAAGAACAGAGCCTAGAGTTTCAAGTATTTTATCAATTGGTAACGCGTTTCGTATAAGGCAATTAGTTACATTTGTGTTTACAAGTGACTGCTTCGTTGTCAGAGTGGTCGCAAGTGCGACTGCCGGGGAAGGAGTCTCGGGTTCGATTCCCGGGTCGGGCAAAGTAGGTATTACTGCCCTTTTTTAAATCTCAGTAGAAGCACGGAGTCTGGAATTGTGCCCGGTATATAGCAATAGACTCACCCACTCAGTTTGAGGAAAGTGGGTGTTACATTGTACAGTGGCATTAAGTGACGTAATGTGCACCCTCTGCCTACCCCTTCGTGGATAAAAGTGAAAGATAAAATATGTAAAATGAATGCATTTTCTTGTAAAAGGATGATTTTCAGATAAGTTATAGAAAGTTCGATAAAATAAAATAATAAAAGTTAGTGGCTGCATTTGCTTCCAAGTGTAGTATTGCACTAGTCTTTTTAATGTCGCTTATATGTAATTCATATCTATTTTCTATGTAATAGGCACAAATGCCCCTAAAAAGGAGGTATTTTGATAATAACAAGGATACAAACCTCTGCTGGGGTGCAGGATGCACTGGAAGTGAAAGTGAATCCAAATCTGGAGGCTCGGGTACTCCATGTAGCTTGCATAGTTCCCGCAACAGTATACCGACCTAGAAAGGACAAAAATATATTATTTACCAACTTCAAAAAGAAACAAAAGAATGGTCTCAGTTTGACCTGTATGTAGGTATATTTGTTATACGAATATCTCGCGATCAGCTGAACCGATTTTGATGCAGTTTTCAGAAATGTGTTTCTTACACTTATGAGAAGGTTTTAGTACTTATATTAATTAAACGATTTTAAAAAAGAGAGGTTTGCAGTCTGTATTTTTAAGACTGACTGCCAATAAAAAACTGTTGAAGGTAAATCCTCCGCTAACGCCGGTCACCGGTGACCCCCTTGGAGTTTAAAGTGTTAAATGTAGTTTATAATTCACGAACTATGTATTTGTTTCAATAGAAAAGGAAGAACCACAGAGTTCTCTTTTGAATGTAGCTATGTAACCAAACCAACTACGTCACTAGCACTGTTGAACTGTATCGTTAACAAAAATATGTCCACATAACAAATAGTATGTCCAATAGTTGATATGTTAATAACTAGTGAGTCACTATTGTTGATATTGACCAATCAGGTCACAAAAAACCGTCTGATAGAGGTCAATGTTGCGAATAATGATAACTAACAACGCAGTATAGAACTTCCTTAATATGAATAGACTGCACTGTGGAATCTCGCCCTAATACCTTAAAGTTTGTTTATTTTTATATCAATAAAGAGATCGCATCACTTCCCAACTAATCAAATTCAATACTTATTTCGAACTGTCAAAACCGACAGTTTTCTATTAACTTTGGATTGTGACGTCATTTTTTTAGCGTGAAACAGCATACTTATTTCTTAAGTTTGCTGGAAATAGGTATGTTAAAATTAAGTTGGTCATAAAATCGATTAATGAAAGATAATTATTTTTTAATATTTTGGTGTATTGAACAGTCGAAATAATTTATTTTTGATTAAAGAAATTACCTAATTGGTGCAAATATGATTATTATACCGCGATATTAAACTTTAAACTATAGAAATTCTTACTGACACAGTGCAATAAGCTTGCCCCCAAACGCTTTTTAACATAAGACGCGTAACACTAGCGACTACTCGTATGTTAGCTGTATGTATCAATAGATATGTGCACCCTTCGCCTAACCCTTCGGCGTCTAAAGGCGTGACCTCCTCACTCCGCCTACACTGCACACTGCAATAAGCCGTGACGTATTAAATTATCGATCTGTAAACTTTGACAGTTTGTGACCTTAGCACAGTGGCGCCACCTAGTGAGCACGACAACGAACTTGGCTGGTTATAAGACAAAATTTTAGCATAGAAAACCACTATTTAAAATTAATTATAATACGAAAAATAAGGCCATATAAACAATTCCATACGGAACATAACGCTCAAAATTAAATTGAGGACACATTTAATTAGCTAAATCATCAGTAATCACATTCACCTTAACCTACATAGAAATAATCTTCTAGAATCAACGTGATGCATATCAAATAAAAAAAAACTGCGAGAATATTTCTTTTTTAAACAAAAACTAGCATCACTTCCTAAACGAAACACCTTCGTTCACATGACCTCGTCCTTGATTCCAAAACCAAGATCATATTGGTTAAATACTTTTTTCTATTTACCTACGTTTTTAAAACGTTTGACACTTGGCACGTGGTTAACTATTTAGAACATCGCACGTGTTTGTAAATTTAAAATAGTCTACCTCTTTTCAATTTGCAGTTTGTGTAGGTGGACGTTATTTTTGTGACGGCTAAGTTCAATGAACCTGTAGCCATGTTGCAACTATGTATTATTTTTTTCTGTGTAAGGGTATTATTGTATAATAAAAATGAACTTTTATTATAATTGTATGATACAAGGTGTAGTAAATGTTTTTATTGGTATGATTAAAGTGATAAATATCATAATAACAACATTTGATTATGTTTTATTTTGGTGAAAATGGAATGGTAGACGACTAATTTTTATTTTAATGTCCGTCATCCGATTTTTTTTACAGAAACAAATACTTTTGGCAATATATTGATTTGAAATGTTGCGTGACGTCACTTCAAAGTACATTTCATACGTAGAAATGACGTTTTAGCCCCCACTCCTAAACTTTGATTCGTTAGTATCATTTTATTACACAACAAAATAAAAAAAATACGTGTCTAATATTTTTTCATTACCTAACTGACGGGCTAATTAGTTTTTTTAATTTTCATACTCTGTCATCATCCCTATTAGATAGCCACTTCAAATTATAGTGAGGTTTTCAATCATCCTACTAATATTATAAATGTGATAGTTTGTATGTTTATTTACTCCTTCAAGTAAACTGGCTGAAGGTATCAGGATGTAATTTAGATTATGGTCTAGAATACCTAATACATTTATTTTTTGGTTTTCATCCCACGGGATCGCGAGCGAAATCGCCATCAGAAGCTAGTATATCGTATTTAACTTTCAAAATTACAGACATCATTTCATAATACTTATTGATTTTCTCAGTAATCTTGCAGTTACTAATCCCTCAAAAGGTCTGAGTTCAAATGTACGCCCTTCAGGCTGTAGTGAGCAATTCAAGAGCTATTTCTAAACTATTGATTGAGTTTTAAAGTTGAAAATGCAACACAATAGAACACTCAATGTGTATTTTATGGACGGTTCATTTTAAAAACTTCAAATGTTAGTTATTCATTTAAACGTAATTGTAATACTGACTCATTAGATGTGCAAACACAAGTATGTTGACTTTTTAATTTTATTGTTACTTATGGTAGTAAATAATATTGTGTATAAAATTGGGGTTGCCTAGTTGACGGGCCGGGCAAATTACTGGGTTTTTAAAAAAATCTCAGTAGTAGCACGCAGTCTGGAATTGTGCCCGGCAATAGGCTCACCCTCTATTACATGGGACTTATGTCATAAATAGACTAAACACATATGACTACTTTTTATCCTATGGGACCGCAAGAAGAAGCAGCAGAAACTAGAGATTAAGAATATTAATTGTTAATGTGATAAAGTTCTTCTCAGCTTAACTCTTCTGTAGCAACAAAAATAGCCTATATTTTATAATAACTATCGTGAGACAAATTAAAAAATAAAGGTAACTAACTAAAAATCGCCTGTTACTCACGTGAATATACCGAGAAAAGCTCTACTAGTTTCGAACCACAGAGGGGTTCTTCCTCATGTAAACGTGAGCGGTCGCGGCGATGTCTGTAGAATACGCGACATCGCCGCCGTAGTAGAGCTTTTCTCAGTATATTCACGTGAGTAACCCCTGATTTTTAGTAAATTACCTATATTTTTAAAGATTAAAATCATGTAGATAGAATACCTATTATTTAATTCTGTAGTCTTTTATTGTATCTACCTGCAAACTTATTAGAAGTAACATTAAATAAACATTAAGCAGAGTATTCAATGCAAATCACAGAACCTTGTAAATTATACTAAAATGAGTAATTGCAATTGCAATAACCTTTAAATTTTCCACTCTATCAAAATCTATTATATTAGAAGTATATATTAAGTTATTTACTCATTAACATTTTGATAAGACATTGGAATGACTAGGCATCACTATAAAATTACAGTTATAGGTACGAATTTAGACAAAAATTCTAGACAACAATGAATAACATGACAATTTAATCTGAATCGGTTCATATGTAATTGAGGATAAAATATTTCTGGTTAAAAACAATGTGATTGATGTATTTTGTAAAATAATTTATTATATTAAACTGTCAAACACAGAGCGGTCACCGGTGACCGCAACCTATTGTTCTTTAATTGTGTCTATAATGACGGTACTCAACGAGTTAATCAATTGATGCACTATAAATCTATAATGTACACTTACCTTTCCTACTTACATTACCTAATGAAGATTTATACAAAAAAAAAACATATTTTTTATTGACCAGCTTTGTTCTTGCTACTTTTACTAAAAACCTCTAAAAATATACTTAACCCGTTAACCACCATGTAGGTCACCGATGACCTACGTTAGCGGAGGAGTTGCTTTCAACAGTTTTCTGTCGGCAGTCCAAAGCTTAAACATTTATTCACCATTGTAATCATACACCATTCTGTTTAATATTAGTCTCTTTTGAGTTTACTGTGTTGCTGAGTATAGATAGCTTTTTAGTGTAAGTGAAATGATGTGTAAAGGAGTTGACAAAAAGGAGGATGTCATGTCACTTAGAAATTATTGAAGCACCCAAATGTCAGTGTTCTATTTATGTGTGCGTGTACTTGCAACACCGTAGTGTATGAAGTGTAATAATGGGCCATGTCACGCGACAGATGTCGTTGGTGTAAATGTGTGTATTCTGTGTTTAAGTCTATAGTAGCCAGGTGCCACAGTCGTTGTTTCAAGAGATTATGTCCACCTTGTTTTCAACATCCTTGTCATGTGTGTCCCCACACAGGAGAACCTAGTGTGGGAAAGTTTTAAAGAATACCATAAGTGTAACACTCTTGTACATTTACGCACATAAAAATTATACATAAATTAATTTACGCAACATACATTTAGTTTCCTTACCTGATTTATGACATGGTTATCTCTGCCCTGTGTATTGGTCAGGATCTGGACAGCATTTGTAACTATGGGATCCTCGCTGTCAGCAAACCATACAGGCGGAGTGTTGGGGTAAGTCTCCTAGTAGCCAAAAATACAATACATATTTTAGAATACAGATGATGTGCATTACCAAAATAATTATGCTCAGTTTTATTATTATTATGGTGTTTTATCGCTTAATCAAGTTAATGCTATTGAATTTCTCACATTCAAGGAGTTTTTGTGGTCAGAAATATCTAACAGACTTGTAAAAAAATTCCATGCGAAAACAGTTTTCTTCAAAGCCTTTTTACTATAAACTATAACCATACCACAAGTAGACACATGTCCAATTTCAATAGTCTAAGCTATATTTGTATTTCCTTGATAAACATAGATAGAATTTTGACATAGATCCATACAATATGTACCAAAATTCTTTAACTAAGTTAGCTAAGCTAATATACAGAAATATAGGTTAAAACTAATTGATGGTAAATAAAAACACAAATTGTAAATAAATACGTATTGACATGTTGTTTGTTAAATTAAGACCCACATAACTTTCTAGGAGCATATTAATTATAAAATCAATAAATTATATCTCTCAATTATATTACTCGTTATATCTAAGTATCATTTTATTATACAATTAAATAAAATAATTTGTGTCTAATATTTTTCATTACCTAACTGACGGACTAATTACATTTTTAATATTCATACCCTGTCATCATCCCTATTGGCACCCAATAAAATGAATTAAACCTTCTTTTAGTAAGTCAAAAATAGGGTGCATTAGTGCATTACAATGTGTAACAACGAATATTGAAGGGAAATTAAAAAAAAAACACAAATAAACACACACAAACATTAATGTAAGCTACTCAAATTATTATTTCTTTAGGGATTAAGTAGATACAGTGTGGTTTGTACAATGATTATTAAAGTTTATGTGTATATATGTAATATGCAATTTATATTGCAATATTTCTTACAAAAGGACTGGTTCTAACCTACCAAAACCCCAGCAATGCATATTGCGGTACTTTTATAACAGTTTTAATTCATAAATTATGTTTTAAATAGATGTATTGTACATAACATGAATAAATAATAGAGCACAGCACACATTCAAGGATGAATATAAATGAATTAAATAAATTTAACTTTACATATAATAATCGTAAGTAACTCAAAAGAAAAAATGCAAGAATAGTTATTTATTAGCAAGGCAATAATTTTGCGAAAAGCAAAAATAGTCATAAATGCATTGTTTTACAGTTTGTGTGAAGTTTTTAATTCACACTGCATTATCTAGGTCACCATTTCATAGCTGCTGCTCAAAATTTATTATTTAAAATTCAATGCATTTTATGATAGTGTGTTAATTTAGTTTTATCATAATTTTAAAATGTAAATTGAACATGAGATGAAACAATTGCAATTAAGTTACCAATATATATTTAATTACATTTCACATTAGTACAATGCATGACCATACACTAACAATAGGTTACTATGTACCAAATATTGATAACAGCATGTAATCATTGTTTGGTGTTATATCATTGATAGTGGCCAGTATAGTTTATAAACAATTCATGTTTATACTACACATGTAAATCCTAGTAAACAGTAATGTTTATTACATTCAATCATAATAATAACCTGTTATCAATGAATGGCCCAAGTAAGGGACTGAGCACATTCCACACATGCATTGTTGCATCTCGAAAACGCAGCTCTATCGCCCCAATAAAATGTCTACATGACAAAAAACAGGTAGAGTGGATGACTAAGAGCCTTTGTCCCCAAAAAGAGCCTGTATACCGTTAACCAAACAAAACAGACGTTACTCTCTCTATAAAATAGCTGTAATGATTCACGAACACTTTGATAATGACGTTCTGCGCCCGAAATGATCGATACAGCGATTCGACACGGCACCGTATGCTCAATAAACATATGACCCGCAAACTCGTTAACGCGCGACTATCGATTTAGCGAAAAAACACCAATGTTTTGTAAATATTTTATACTGAAATATGGGAAACGTGTGGCTTCAACGGGGAAATGTATATTCACTTCCGTAAACCTTTTGTTGACAGCCCTGCCCTCATAAACAACGACCCTTTGTCCCAGCTAAAGGTAATCAATAAATGCACCCCGCAGTCGAGACATTAATTTTTATGCCACATAGGTAAAATAAGTAAAGGGGGTACTTACAGTAATATTGGCGTGTATTTCATATTTCTTTCCATTTTTGCCAACGAATCTGCAGGTCAGTTCGTCGACACTAGCTGACATTATCTGAAACCGTTCATGGTTTTTTGGAAACACTTGTTCTAAAGTTTTGATTTCTAACTTAAGTGTATTTAAGCAAGCCATTAGTGTTTATTGAAACACTAATTCTAAACTAACTAATAGTTAACCACGATAAAATACATGAGAACAAAATTTTACGTTCACTCCGCGACCAAGCAAAATGGCGGAACGTAATGGCGGAAATTATTATAAAAAATACTGTTTGCTGACACTAGAGGGCGTCTAGACAGAGACAAGTAGACTTCTTTCACTTTTCGAGTTGCAACACTTGAAAATGGAAAATATGGCAATTTTTAATTTTGATACAACTGGAACTGGAAAATGACCATATCACATTGTACTGGGACCGGTCTATCATTTCTGACAGGACTATTGTAGCCAATAAACCTGACATAGTGGTGATAGACCGACAAGTACGCCGCACGATGATAATCGATGCCACCATTCCCCATAACGAGAACCTCGTGAAAGCTGAGAAAGATAAACAAATAAAATATCTAGACTTAGCTCACGAAGTTGTCGACATGTGGAATGTGGATTCGGCTATCATTGTGCCGATAGTCGTATCGGCCAATGGGATATCCTCGGACTTCAGACTCCAGAGGATTATTTGCCATGAGGTCAGAAAAAAAAGTAAACTGTCCGACACCAAAGGATTAAGTCATTTGTCACTTGTCATTGTCAATATCTGATTCTGATCTGTCAAATTGGAATTTTTACGTGCTTGTTCGAGTTGTTTGTTTTCTTTACTTGTGAGTTGTGAATAGAAAGATATTATTATAATAAAATAAGATAGCATTAAAATGGGTCGAAGTCCTTCTCCATGCGTTAGTAATTATTACAAGCGAAAGCGTTCACGGTCTCGATCCCGTTCTCGCGATAGAGACAGACATAAAATAAAGAAAACATCAGCTTCTGCATCAACATCTAAAAGTATTGAAGAAGACTTTAGTTTTACGAATTACAAGCGGGATTTAAACAAAATTATTCTGTACAGCAATGAAAGTAATACTGTTGTGAATAACCTTGACGACTTTTGGGTGTTCTTGAAGAAATATGAAGCTACTTTGAGAAAGGCCGGAAAACCTATTATTGATTATGGTCCTGAAGAAAACAGGGATGATAGTTCTCAAATCTTTTCAAAATTTGATTGTATTAATTTTAAAACTTCAATAAAGTATGTAGATACTGTGTACCATGATAACAAAAGAGGAAAGTTGGACAAAAAACTATTTCAAGCGTTCTTGAATATTGTTTCTATTTACCTTGATTTCAAGAATAAAGAGAAGTTTGAAAAACTTAGGAAATTGAGACAAGCTCAAAAAGATTTACCAGTTGCCAAATACAGGTAATTATTTACCAAATTCTTGTTACGATTGAAATTATTTAAATTTTCACTTAACCTTCTTGGTCGATTTTTCTTTTAAAATCAATCTTCTCTGTGGTTTTTTCTTCAGAGTAACGTATTGAAGTAAATTACAAAATATTTATTATTTGTATAATAATAATTTATCACCATTTCAACATAATATTGTATATATTCCAGGGATGAAATAGTGGCCGCAGTTAAAAATGAGAGAGTAGTAGTAGTGGCTGGTGATACTGGATGTGGCAAGTCCACACAGGTGCCTCAGTACTTACATGAAGCTGGATTTGAAAGTATAGGTAAGTTTCATGTAAAAATGTTTTAAAAATTTTTTGTAGCCTCCTCTCCCTAGGACTCTCTTCTTATTGACTACATGATTTCATAATGTCCAATTACGAAAAATCCACAACATTTGTACATACAAAAGTGGTGTCTAAACATTGGAAATAAGGTCTAACATCGGAAATAAGGTGTAAGTGGAGAGCCGTCACTGGTGACCACATGGATCTTGACCAGTTAAAATCAATGTTCTCAAGAGTGAAACTACACCCCATCCATGGCTAAGCTGACCCTTTTGAAAAGTCTATATAAAAATTACTACTAATGAAAACTTTACCTCAAAAGTCAGTATTGCAAACAAACAATATCACTATTATTTGCATAACATAACATTACGCCTTTTATCCTCGAAGGGGTAGGTAGAGATACATATTATGGCACTTAATGTCACAGTACACAATGTAACTTTCATTTATCACTATTTATGTAATAGGAGTGAGCCTATTGCCATATACCGGGCACGATTCCAGACTCAGTGCTACTACTGGGATTTTTTATTAAATACCAGTAATACTTTGCCCGTCTCATCCTGGCACCCCTTGCCCGGCAGTCATACTCGCAACCACTCGGTCAATGAGGCAGTCACTATCATTCCCCTATATGTTTTATATACACAAACCAATTTTCTCTTTCAGCCTGTACACAACCACGAAGAATAGCCTGTGTATCTCTATCAAAGAGAGTTGCCTATGAAATGCTGACACAGTTTGAAAGTAAGGTTGGCTATCAGATAAGGTTTGAAAAGAGCAAGACAGCTGATACTAAGATATGTTTCATTACTGAAGGATTATTGCTTAGACAGGTCAGGTACCGTACATTTTAATAACTAACATAATAGGGATCTTTAGTCTTTGGAGCATTAGACATAAATAAGAACAGCCATGTTTCACCAATTATGTTAAAGTTCAATGTAATAAAGTCTGATTTTAAACTTATAGTTAAACTAAATAAATTATTATGTTTTCGGCTTACTCACGTAGTAATTTGACGAGGAACTCGACTAGTTTCAAGCCATGCTAGAGGCTCTTATTCATGAGTAGTAGCAGGAGCAGCGCGACAGTCGCCGCGTCGCGGGTCGCGAAATGCTGCTCATGAACATGTGAGTAAGCCAAAAACATAATAATTTATTTAGTATGTCTCACGAAAGTTACAATGCAATTATAGTTAAACCAGGCATAATTCTTGAGTCTAAGCTGTTAGGTACTAAGAATTTTTACTTGACTGCACGGTTGGTGCGGTGGCTGGGCAACCGGCTGCCGTGCAACGTGTCGCGGGTTCGATTCCCGCACGAGACAACACTTTGTGTGATCCACAAATTGTTGTTTCGGGTCTGGGTGTCATGTGTATGTGAACTTGTATGTTTGTAAACGCACCCACGACACAGGAGAAAATCCTAGAGTGGGGCAACGTTTTATTTAAAAACAATAAAAAAAAAAACAATTTTAAAATCAAAATCGACATTTGAGAACCTTGGAATCGAATATGAGACGTCTTGCTCCGTGTTTGACACTCAAACTTGATCCACAAAGGAGTCTATATTAGTAATCGCTAAATTAAGTATAATTAATTATAATGTAATCTGACATCATTTAATCTTTACCCCTTAAAAATTTCAGATGTCGTCAGAAAATCTACCGAACTATGACGTCATAATTCTGGACGAAGTTCACGAGAGACATTTAATGGGAGATTTCCTATTGGGTATATTGAAATGTCTCATACATACTCGGAATGATATCAAACTTGTACTTATGTCCGCTACTATAAATATCAAGCTGTTTGAAGACTATTTCTCTGCGGAGTCTGCTGTTGTCATACAGGTGGGAAACATAATGTAGTATCACACTTTTTAATTCTTAGAGAGATAGGCAGAGATGCATGTTTTCGATGTTATCGCTTAGTTACTTTTTAGTTATTTTGTGGCTTTCATGTAATAGGACACTACTAGTATATAGCAGGCACATTTTCAGAATCTGTGCTTTTTATCATGTCGTGGTGGCCCGGAGATTAAGATGCATGCTTCTCATGCATGAATGTGCGGGTTCGACCTACCAACGGCAATTACCAATGTGAAGTAGTACAGTAGTGGAGTGTAGAAGTGACGGTGAAGGAAAGCATCGTGAGGAAACCTGAGGGCTTAGTACGATTTTCATTTACGTTTAAAGTATTCGTAACGAGTACGCGTTCAAAATTGACGTGTAAAAGTGCTGCCTTGTTTGCAGAAATAAAATTCACTTGTTTCACTTGTTTCGGCACTCTGATTGGCCGGCGCCAATGAAGCAACCAATCAGAGCGCCGAACGCGTACTCGTTACGATTACTTTTAACGTAAAACAAACTCGTACTAAGGCCTCTGGGCTTATAATTTCTAATTATTAATATGAAATCAACCAAGTGAGCAAGCATAGTGATTACTGCGCAAACCTTCTCCGTGTGAGAAGAGGTTTTGCTTAGCAGTTGGCATATATGGGCTGTTGATGATGATGTGCTTTTTATTCTTGACTTTGTGTTCCAGAATGTTCTAAAAGTTTAGACGTTCCAATACTTTCTCAATACACATTCAAAATCATTTATTTCAATTAGACCGGGAAAGCACTTTGAACGTCAAAACAAAAAAGAATATAGAAATATTAAAAAAAAAATGTCAGTCGGTCGGTGAGTCCTCTAGTGAAGCTTCTGATTCCTATGGAGAAAAATGAGCAAGAAACTCCATAAGTTACTCTTTTTCAATCAGGTTCACAATACAATTCTTGGTTACATTGTTTCGTTGGTTCGATTATGTGAGAACAATGGTCAGTAGTGACAGTTGGGACCCCTCAACCAAGGAGTTGAATACTAAAGTATAATTAGATATTTAATTATGTCTACTTCTAGGTCCCCGGCCGTTTATTTCCGATACAATTGCACTATAAACCAATATTGATTGACGACAAGCCGACGAGAGATGATCGGCTCGATCCACAGCCCTACGTACAAGTTATGCAGCTAATTGATAGTAAATATCCGCGTAAGTATTATTGAGATAAAATAAGTAAATAAGGTTTTCATCGTTTCATCGTTTCGATTAGAATATTTTCAAAGTTAATTTATTATGTTTTCGGCTTACTCACGTAATAATTTGACGACGAACTCGACTAGTTTCAAGCCATGCTAGAGGCTCATATTCATGAGCAGCATTTCGCGACCCGCGACGCTGCGACTGTCGCGCTGCTACTGAGCCGAAAACATAATAATTTATTTAGTATGTCTGACGAAAGTTACAATACAAATTTTCAAAGTTAATCAAGCGTTTATTATTATATTTTTCGTCTTACTCACGTAATTATTTGACGAGGCGGTCGACTAGTTTCAAGCCATACCAAAGGATCATACTCGTGAGCAGCGTTCGCGACGCGGCGACTGTCGCCTAAATAGTAGCATGGCTTGAAACTAGTCGAGTTTCTCATCAAAAGATTTCGTGATTAAGCCGAAAAACATCATTCATTATGTCTTAGGCCTCTGCGTCGAACTTTGCGGGCAGGCTCGCTCGCCGCGCCGCCGCCCCGCTACCCGCAAAATTTGAGGCAGAGGCCTCACGAAAGTTATAATATTACATTACATTACATAACATCACGCCTTTTATCCCCGAAGGGGTAGGCAGAGGTGTACATTATGCCACTGTACAATGTAACACCCATTTTTCACTATTTATGTTATGAGTCCCATGTAATAGGGGGTGAGCCTATTGCCATATACCGGGCACAATTCCAGACTCCGTGCTACTACTGAGGATTTATAAATACTCAGTAGTACTTTGCCCGACCCGGGAATCGAACCCGAGACCCCTTGCCCGACAGTCGTACTTGCGACCACTCGGTCAATCAAGCAGTCATAGTCATAATATTAATAAGGTGTTTACTATTCACGGACATACGAACCTCAGTAATGCTGGAAGGGCTATCTCTGAAGTGCGAGTGTTGCTGTAATGTTTAATCTTAGGAGCTTCCATCAGTTGTAATAAACATTTGACATTAGTAAATATTGGCCAATAGACTTTAATGTACCATAGCGCCTTTAGTGGCATGGAAACCTAATTTATTAGCCTTATGTTGAATGTTTTACAATTTTTTTTATAGGCAATGAAAGAGGTGATCTGTTAATATTCCTATCGGGTGTCCAAGAAATCACTACTATATGTGATGCAGCTCAGCAGTATGCGGAAAAGTCGAAGAATTGGATCGTTCTGCCACTACACAGTGGCTTGTCACTCGCTGAGCAAGATAAGGTAAATATCTACTTCAGATTAGCTTTCCATCTGCGACACTTTACACGCAAGAATATTATTAAGCTTTTGACTGGTAATAGAAAACTGTTAAGGAAAATTCTCCGCCTTTTAGTCACCGGTGGCGGTCATCCATATGGCGTTTTAACTGTCAAACACCGTGAGGGCACCGGTGACTACAACCTATTGTTCTTTAATTGTGTCTATAATGACGGTACTCAAAGGGTTAATTATGACCTACATACTCACGTAAAATATTGGAAAAAACTCTACTTGTTTCTCGACATACATGCCTGCTTGTATGTGTTGTGAGGCAAGGTTATGCAGCCAACATTATTGATATTTTTTTAAATGTGAAATATTTCACAATTCGATCGATATTAATTTACTTGCTTACTTTGAACAAAGGTTTTTTTTTGATGGGCCGACGTTTGACCACTATCTCGCCTGGTGGTAAGCGATGATGCGGTCTACGATGGAGCACGTCGTCCCATAAACAACCTATACACTCGGGCCCTTAAGACCCAGGTTATATTCAGGAAACACAGACTGGCAAAATAATATGATCAATTTATCTTTCCAGGTATTTGACTACCCCCCAGAAGGAGTTAGGAAGTGTATCGTATCTACGAATATAGCTGAAACTTCCGTCACCATAGATGGTATAAGATTCGTCGTGGATTCCGGCAAGGTAGTATATAATGGCAATAGTAATACCATTACTATTATGTATTAGAATTAAAATATGATGACTGCCTCATCCGAGTGCCCTTATGCCCTTGGCCGAGTGGTCCCAAGTGTGACTGCCAGGCAAGGGGTCTTGGGTTCGATTCCCGAGTCGGGCAAAGTATTACTGGGTTTTTAATACAATGTCAGTAGTAGCACGGACTCCGGAATTGTGCCCGGTATATGGCAATAGACTCACCCCCTTTTACATGGGACTAATAACATAAATAGTGAAAAGTGGGTGTTCTTCTGTGTACACCTCTGCCTACCCCTTCGGGGATAAAAGGCGTGATGTTATGTTATGTTATTTAAATATCTTAGCTTTGTTAGAAATGTTTGTTTTATATAACATAACGCCTATACGTTCAGTGCATGGGTCTTTATTTGATTTTCATTATTATTCTAGGTGAAAGAAATGAGTTACGATTCCACAACAAAAATGCAGAGATTGAAAGAGTTTTGGATATCTAAAGCTAGTGCAGATCAGCGGAAAGGACGTGCGGGCAGAACAGGTATGTTTAATAATATTTGAAGGACAAAAAATACCACACAGCTTCATTATTTGATGATTATTTTATTAAACTGCCTCGTTGGCCTAGTGGTCGGCAAGTGCGACTGCCGGGCAAGGGGTTTCGGGTTCGATTCCTGGGTCGGGCAAAGTATTCCTGGGTTCGTAAAGTGATCCATCTTCAACCATATCTTCTGTAGCCGCTCATACACGGAGATACATGGATACATGATAGAAGATTCCCATCTACATCGCCATTCAGTTAAAAGTTCATTTTTAGTCAGTAAGAGTCGAACATCTATCGCCTCATCCAGGCTGGAGAAGTCATTGGCTGATTTTCTGTCATCAAAAACAAAAGACATCCGTTAATGGCTTAAATAATCTAAGTTATTTTGCTTCGATCATGTACTAAAAGTCAATAAGTCAAAATCATTTATTTCAATTAGACCAGGAAGGCACTTTTGAACGTCAACAACAAAAAAATTTAGAAGTGAATCTAGTTGCTCATTCCAAGGTGTAGATTCCTATGTAGAAGAACGAGCAAGAAACTCCATAGGTTACTCTTTTTCAATCGGGTTTACAATACAATTCTCTAGTTAGATAGTTTTGTTGGTTCGATTGTGTGAGAACAATGCAACACAATACCTAAATGCAGTTAAAGAGATTGAAAAAGAAAATATATAAAATAAATATACTAGCAAGCTTACCTAATGATGAAGTTGTCTTCAGGTCCCGGCGTCTGCTATCGTATATACTCACAGGAACAATTCAATGATATGGATGACTTCAGTACTCCTGAAGTATCTCGTGTACCTCTCGCGTCACTCCTACTGCTGATGAGTTCTCTAGGAGTCAGTGACGTCAGACGGTTCCCCTTCCTTGATACTCCGCCTGAAGATGCAGTTGAAAATGCTTTGTTGGAATTGAAACAACATGTAAGTGGAGACTGGGAATACTTGGCATTCTTTTGGGATAATTTGGCAAATAACTTTGTCTTGGTCTTGAGAAGATTTTTGTGGAACTCTTTTAAGTGTTAGTTAGTATAGTACTGACAGCACGGTTGGTGCGGTGGCTGGGCAACCGGCTGCCGTGCAACGTGTTCGATTCTCGCACGGAACAAAACTTTGTGTGATCCACAAATTGTTGTTCCGGGGTTGGGTATCGTGTGTATGTGAACTTGTATGTTTTTTAAACGCACAGGAGAAAATCCTAGTGTGGGGCAACGTTTAAAAAAAATAAGTTAGATAGGATAAAGTGTTATTGTCATATTAATTTTAAAAATTTAATTAATCTATTATTTCAATAGGATTTATGTCTGTGTTAATTTCGTAACTGTACATACATTTAATTTCCTGAAAAGCGATTGTGAACGATGATAAATCGGTTTAATTCAACATTTTATGTGATAACTATTTCACAAATTGACATTAATTTCTGTCAATTCTTTAAAAACAGAATCGAATTAAAACTCCTTTAGGGAACAGTATAGTTCCCTAAGATCGGAAAAGGAGAATCCTCCGACGAGGCGAGGTCATCATGCCTGGCGGGCTTTCTGCCCAACAGTTGTTCGTTGGGATTTTCTATCCATGTTAATTCGCATGTAATCTTTATATAAAGATCGCACATATGTGCGATGTAGGATTTTTGTGACGTCATCTGTTGATTCGTTTTCATCAATAGTCTATGTGCGTGAACTGTCGTTAGGCGTGACTTGTGTAGCCACACTCTAAACCTAACTTTTTATCTAATCAAAAATCTCTTGTTCCAGGGAGCACTAACCTCAAACGAAAAACTAACAGCTTTAGGCAAGGCACTCGCCAATCTTCCAGTAGAAGTATGCCTTGCTAAGACCCTAGTGCTGGGCGCCGCTACACTGCCTCCTCACAAATTGGACTCAGCTCTGGCGTTAGCGGCCGCGCTAGGTATACGGTCTATTTATACTACAAGAGCGCATCGAGATTTTGAGTGCGAGGTGAGGTTATTTATTAATTGTACATACATACATAACATCACGCCTTCCCCGAAAGTGTAGGCATTTTTTTTTTAAGGGGGGAAATCATCGAATGACTGCCCCCGCCTAGGTGAGGCGGGAGGGAGTGTCAGACTCTTACTGACTAAAAACCACCCCGTTCCTTCTCCTGCACGTCGAGCCGGAGCCCCGGGAACCGTTAGGTTCTCCGCGACTCTTAAGATAGGGTAGGCATAGGTCCAAATTACGGCATTTAATGCCATACAATGTTACATCTACTGTAAACTGTTTATGATATGTGTCCCATGTAATAGGGAGTGAGCCAATAGGCTCAGTTGTCTCAGGAGTCTGGAATTACTACTACTGAGGTTTAAACCCAGTAATAAACCGCAAAAAAAGTTAACCTAGTAATAATAAAACCCAGCAATACTTTGCAAGACCCGGGAATCGAACCAGAGACCCTTGCCAGTAGTCAGGGTTATAGCGTAATTATTTTGTTTGTCAAATTACAGAACGCCCGAACACCAGATGAATCGGACCACGGTGACCCATTAACCCTTCTTTCATTATACTGCGCCTGGCTTAGAGAGAAACGAGATACCCGCGGCGGCAGAGCGTGGTGTAGGAGACGAGGGATAGAAGAACAACGACTATATGAACTCACCAAACTGGCTGCGCAACTTCGATCCTTATTACAGGTACGCTTTGGACTTAATTTAGTCTGTAGTTATTGAGTACTTACTCTCTTTTTGTACTGCGCAAATTATATAAATTGGCTGCGCAACTTAGATCTTTGTTGAAGGTAGGTTTGAGTATTAATTTGGCCTGTAAGTATTGAGTACTTGTTTTCTTTTTGTACTGTGCAAACTCACCAAACTGGCTGCGCAACTTAGATTACTATTGCAGTTTTATTTTAGGCTTAATTTAGCTTGTATTTATGAAGCGCTTGTTCTCTCTTTATAGTATTACTTGTATCATTATACTACCGCCTAGCTTAGAGAGAAGTAAGATACAGGTTTTGCAGCTTAGGACCTTATCATAGAGTTTTATAAGGTTTAATTTTGCGTGTATTTACGACTTGATGATTAAGTCTGAGAGTTCAGATGCCGAAATACTGAAACGTTACTCAATTTTAAGTCGTGCTCAAATATCGTGCCATCTCTGTCATTTTACAAAGAATTTGTAGAGATAGAACTATACTTAAGCATGACTTAAAATTGAGTAGCGTTTCAGTATTCCGACAAGAGACTCTTTAGTTTTGTGAAATTTGTCTAGTTAGTTCACTTTTGAATATATTTTTTGTTTTTTCTTTCAGTCAAGCAATTTGATGGAAACTCCGGAGCCTGAGTCTATGTCGTCAGCAGAGAGAGCTCTACGACACGGTCAAGTGAAGCAGTTGAAGGACGCCAGACGGTTAGTAATCTTTACATAATATTTTTAAATAGCATGTCATAAACAGATATTCTCCTAGACAATGTTGATCACGAATGGGGCTCAATAAGGCTGATGCCGATACGGAGCCGCGGAGAACTTAACGGGTTGCTGGAGCTCCGGCTCGAAGGGCAGGAGCAGAAACCGGATGGTTTCTAGTCCGTAAGAGTCTGACTCTCCCTCCCGCCTCACCCGAGTGGGAGAAGTCATTCGAAGATTTAAAAAAGTCCCCTTAAAAAAAATGCTGATTCTTTGAGTAAGCATTAACTTAAAAACCATGCCTGACTGCTCATTGAATTTAGTTTTAAAATATTTCTCATTGTCTCTAATAATAATCAAATGTGATATTACGCATGAGTACCAAGTTTTATTAAACTTGGTTTAATCGTTTAATCGACGGACTGCCTCGTCGGCCGAGTAGTCGCAAGTGCAACTACCGGGCAAGGGGTCTCGGGTTTGATTCCCGGGTCGGGTAAAGTATTATTGGGTTTTTAAAAAAATCCCAATATTAACACGGATACTGGAATTGTGCCCGGTATACGATAATAGGCTCACCCCCTATTACATGGGACTCATAACATAAATAGTGAAAAGTAGGTGTTACATTGTACAGTGGCATAAGTGCCGTAATGTGCACCTCTGTCTACCCCTTCGGGGATAAAAGATGTGATGTTATATTATATGTTGTTTAATCTTCAAAATAAACGTAATCAATAAAAGAAAGAAAGAAAAAACATTTATTTTGCTACGACACTCAACAAGAATTTAGGACCACACAAAAAAGCCTATGATGCGTCGCAGCGCAAAAGGCTGGAGCTCAGCTTAATACCGTGGACTGGGCACAGAGGCTCGAGCCCACCGCGCTGATTTTCAGCACCAGCCCGTTATAGTACGTATTAGTTATACACCTATGGTGACGCTGTTCGGAGCACAGCATGATGTATGTAAATAATAAAATGACATGTAACTACGCTAAATTACTTCTATTCCAGCCAATTCAAACAAAAAGCGGCCAACGACTTAAAACGCAAGAAGCGCCTCAAAATGAGTTCGTGGGAGATTGTAGATGAGAACGCGAATGATGATGAGGACTTTGACATCAGGGATGTGGAGTTCAGATTGACTAATGATGCCCAGCGGATACAGTCACTTATTGCGGGATCTAGCGCTTCTAGTGGACGAGATCTTGTTATGTTGAAGGTGAGAATTGAGTATTTTCAAGGCCAAAAGTAGATTGTTTACACTAAAAATATATTATAGTATCTTAAAATAGCCATCAGACCACCACGGATGGAGCCCAATAGGGCTGATGCCGATACGAAGCCGCGGAGAACTTAACGGGTTACCGGGGCTCTGTTTCGAAGTGCAGGAGTAGGAACGGGGTGGTTTTTAGTCAGTAAGAAGACTCTTAGGGAGTGTCAGACGACACTCCCTCCCGCCTCACACAGGCGGGAGAAGAAATTCGATGATTTTCCCCCCTTTAAAAAAATACAATTACAATTTAACCACTAAATCTATGAAAAAAATAATTTATATAAAATCTACAAAATTTGTTCAAACAGAAGTAGTTTCTAAACATCGGAAATAAGATCTATAATGCAGTGAGTGGAGACAGGACACCGGCGTCTGCTTAAGGATGTAGAATAATATCTTTTTTGACGTATTGTCGTCACAAGGCGAAATCTCATACACAATTGATAGAAAAACTTTCATATTTTATGTTTCATTTTCATAAAATAATGGCTTACCTATTATAGATTGATTATTAATAATTTTACTAAAGAAGTGTGGATAGACGCATCTTTGTTTCGATGTAAATTTTTTTATTACTTTCAGTTGGTCCTGTGCAGAGCTTTGTATCCACAAGTGGCGGTAGCAGACGGATTCAACCACCACAAGGTAAATAAGAGAAAATTCTTGTTTTCTTAAGTTATCTATTTACACCCTTTTGCTTTTAGTGAGCGTGTGTTTTGATTTTAAATACCGAACACAGTTGCAGATTTCTATCAAGGATTCAAGAATTTTATAAATTACTAGTGAACAGTCTAGCTTAGTTTCCGAAAGTATACTTTCCAATGTTATATTTTTTCAAATCGTTTAGTAGCCAATTAAATGCCGAATATAAGTAAATCTTTCCACCTACGAAAATCTAATCTATACTAATACTAGCGGCCCGGTACGTGCTTCGCTACGTATAAAGTGAAATAAAATAAACAAATCGGAACATCAAATTCATTTATTTAATCAAAAAAATATTTTATTTAAAATCGAAATCAATTGCTAGCTATTTACAACACACTTAATCCAAAACATTTGGATAAACAATATTTTTTGTTTTTCCATTTTGAGCATAAATAAACAAACGGCTGGGCGTACCGACTCTGGAACAGGCAACATATAACTGGCCATGTGAAAAACAATGTTCCTCCAAATTCACACCACAAACGTGAAGTGTTTGACCTTGGGCCTTGTTGATGGACATCGCAAATGATAAACGCACAGGATATTGTAAACGTTTGAACTCAAAAGGCATATCAGTTGGAATCATAGGTATACGCGGTATCAAAACAACTTCTCCTTTTGATTTACCAGTTAAGATCGTAGCTTCAATCAAATTTGGCAATAACTTTTTCACTGCCAATCTGGTTCCGTTACACAGTTTTGGTGGATTAATATTTCGCAATAATATAATCGAAGAACCAACTTTCAGATTCAAGCAATGCGGTGGCATACCAGCCGGCTCCACATAACTTCTTCACGCCTGTCTCCCATGGGGGTAGGCAGAGACTAAGGAACGCCAATTACTACGATTCTTACATACCTCTTTCGCTTCATTAACAGTCATCAATCTTTTCATGCATGCTCGTCGGTTAAGGGTACTTTTAATTTGGCCCTTCTTTAATATATCGCCAATCTGGTCACTATATGTCCGTCTAGGGCGCCCTCTACCGACGGCTCCATTCATATCCGCTCTGTATACTTCTTTCGTTACTCTACTTTCATCCATCCTTTCTACATGTCCAAACCAGCGTAACATTCCCTTTTCAATCCTTGTCACTACATCGTCTTTCAATCCACACCTCTCTCTAATAACACTATTTTTCACTCGATCACTCAATTTTAGTCCACACATACTTCTCAGGGCTCTCATTTCCACCGCATTAATCCTGCTTTCATGCTTCTTCTGCCACACCCATGATTCACTACCATACATAAGCGTTGGTGTCAATACACACTGCATTACAGCAAGTCGAGCTTTGCTGGATATTATTTTACTCGACATTACAGAGTGTAAAGCACCATTAACACTATTTCCCGCTTTCACTCTCCTTTCAATATCCCCGTCACACTTTCCATCTCTCGTAAATAGTGATCCCAGATACACAAATTCATTCACTTGTTCCAATTTTTCATCACCTATCATTACCTGACATTCTGTTATCACCTCATTTCTTTCTATCACCAACACTTTCGTCTTGTTCACATTTATTTTCATACCTTTCCTTTCAAATGCATCACTCATAGCAGTGACCATTTGTTGTAATTCTTGGGCCGACGAGGCAACAAGCACCTGGTCGTCGGCATACAACAATGTTTTAATCACTGTGTCATTCATCCTTAATCCAGGCTCTCCTACTTTCAGGTCGTTCAAACAACTGTCCATAAATAGGTTGAACAGCCAAGGAGATGCTACACAGCCTTGCCTAACACCGCGATTAATGTCAAACCACTCCGTGTAGTCCCCATTTATTCTGACACAGGCACTCGAGTCCTTATATAAGGATTTAAGTGCCCGAATCAGGTGGCTATCCACCCCATACATGGACAGAGTTGACCACAGTTCATCCCTCACCACTCTGTCATAAGCCTTTTCTAGGTCTATAAAGGCACAAAATACCTTTTGGTGCTTTGATAACACTTTCTCTGAAATGCACCGTAACGAAAAGACTTGATCCGTACACCCCATTCCCTTTCGAAATCCCGCTTGCACATCCCAGATTTTACGCTCAGTTACATCCATCACTCTTTCGATCAATACCTTGGCATACAACTTTCCTACTACGCTTAGGAGGCTTATACCGCGATAATTTTTGCACTCCTGCTGTGATCCTTTTCCTTTATATAGTGGCACAATTACGGCCTTGGCCCAGTCTCCCGGGACACGACCGCACCGCCAACACTTATTAAAAAGTAGATACAGCAGGCTTGCAATTACACCTCCACCCTCTGTTAGCATTTCAGAAGTTATCCTATCACATCCCGCTGCTTTACCTACTTTCAAAGTCTTAATGGCACTCACAATTTCATCCATATTTATTTCTCCCACATTAGCACTTTCATTCTCATCGTTTACTTCCTCTTCTTTCAAATCACTCCTTTCAAATAAATTCTCGAAGTATTCCTTCCACTGCTTTAAAACATCCTTACTTTCTCCAATGACACTCCCATTTATATCCCTTATCGTACTTACTTTCGAGTCCCCCACTTTGCCTCTGGCCCTTCTAACTAAATGCCAGAATAGTTTAGCGTTGGCTCGAAAGTTCTGCGAAAAATTCCTTTCAAACTTTTCCTTGCATTCATTTTTCTTCTTGCTAACTACCGCTTTTGCTCTCTTTTTGAGACTTACGTACTTTTCTTTCATACTTTCTAGCACTCTCCTATTTGCCTTTGAGGCTAATAAGTCAAGCCATGCTTTCTTCTTTTGCTCTATCACCTCTTTTACTTCATCATCCCACCATTCATTCCTCTTGCTTCCAGTGTTATTTTTCTTGCTTACCCCACATACTTGAGTAGCTACTGCGATCACTCCATCCTTAAATTCCTTCCAAAATTCTTCTATATTCCATTCGTCACCTTTCATTAGCTCCCTAAACCTTTCATTTAATAATTTCCTGTACTGGTCCCTAACTTCCTCTTCTCTCAACCGTTCAACTCTCACTCTCTCGGTTCCAGGCAACTTTACCCGTGGCCGATGTCTCCACTTCATTGTCAGTCCAGCTATTCTGGTAATTACTAGGAAGTGGTCGCTTCCGACATTCGTGCCACGGTAAACCCTTGTATCCTTCACTTTTGTCCTCAGGCGTTCATCAACAATCACAAAATCAATCATACTTCTTTCTGTATGCCTCTGCCATGTATACATGTGTATCTTCTTGTGACCAAATGTTGTGTTGGTCACAACAAGTTCCTTTTCTACACATATATCCAGAAGACATACACCATTCTCGTTCACTCGTTCGTCTCCAAATCGCCCTAATACTCTATCGTACCCATCGCGTGCCACTCCAACCCATCCATTAAAATCTCCAAGCATAATTATTCTTTCATTCTCTTTACATTCATTAAGAACATCTCTCAAGTTATCCCAGAATACTTCCCTCACCCCAATTGGCTTTGACATGTCCGGGGCATACGCACAGATGACAAATAATTTGGTCAAGCCAACTTTAAGGCGGATCCAAAGTATCCTGGGACTCACACATTCATACTCTTTCACACATTCATTCATCCTTTCAGATAGTATGACCCCCACGCCCTGGCTGCCTCTCTGGGAACTTGCAACACCAGACCAGTAAGCAATATATTGGCCATGCGTGGTAGTCATACAACCCTTTCTTTTCGTCTCGCTCACCCCTAACAAATCAATCTTTCTTGTATTCATCATCTCACATATTTCTAACATCTTGCCTTCTACACCTCCACACACATTCAGTGTAGCAAAAAGGCAATCCTCAGTCCGCTTTCTGCCTACGCACGGGGAGACAAAACGTGACGTGTGGCAGAGCACGTCGCCGTCGGGAATTTCGCCCCCCCCAGATACGACGGGGCTGCCTGAGCAATCATGCTCAGGGAGGGATTCTCCAGCGGAGCTGGTACCCTCCTGGGGTAGTGTACTCTTTAATCCCCTGTTCATAATGCCCTGTCGCATATCCCTATGGATGGAAAAGGAAATAAGGATGCTTGGTAGGGGGTTGTGGGTCTATGGGATAGGAAAGCTGTGACTACTACATCACCCGTACAGAGACAGTAGTGATCAAAACTTCCACAGCTCAAAGGTTAACGGGGATACAGAGAACGGAAAGGATACGAGGAAAGTTCCTGCAGTAGCTCAGGCGGCCAGGGTCGCGTCCCTATCTGTTTCTTCCTTCATGATCGGAAAGACCATGAAGTTGAAAACAGCCTTAGCCAGCCGGCTCCAATGAATTTAAAAATTCAATTGGATAATTCATTGCCTCATCTTGATTCATAACACTGTCAATTGATTTATATTTCGTGACTACGCCTGGCAGTTTCGCTTGAATTTGAAAATTAATTGCATTGACATGAATGTTTTTCGGTGCTAAAATGGCGCGTTCTGTCAACCAATCATGATTTCTGTAATTCTGAACAATATTCGGAAAAACACATTCAATCAATTCATCTATCGATTGCGCAATTGTACAAAAATTGTTCGGTACAGCGATCAATCCGTTGGTTCTGTCGATTTGTATTTTGCCGTCACCAATTTCTAACAATTGTTTTGAGAACTCATGGGCAGCTGGATCATTTTGTAGGTGAACACGCATATTAATGTTTAGTGTCAATTTTTGTAGATATCTCCAAAGAACTGATGACTTCAAGCAGGCATTTATTTCATCAGCAGGAGTTGATCGAGGAATTACAGGCAATGTTTGACGAAAATCCCCTGAAAGTAATATCAAAGCACCACCAAAAAGCTGTTGATTACCACGTAAATCTTGCATTGTTCGATTGAATGCTTCTAGTGATTTTTTATTCGCCATTGTACACTCATCCCATAAAATAATTGACGTTAATCGCAGAACTTTTGCCATAGCAGAATTTCTCGATATATTGCAAGTTGGAGTTTCAATCACCTGTACATTCAATGGCAATTTTAATGCAGAGTGTGCGGTCCGACCACCTTCTAATAATGTAGCAGCAATTCCCGAAGATGCAAGTGCTAGTGCAATTTTCTGATCTGATCGAATAGTCGCTAAAATCAATGATATAACGAACGTTTTACCTGTGCCACCAGGTGCATCCAAAAAATATAATCCACCTGCATTATTGGAAACGGCTTGCATGATTGTATCATATACATGTTTTTGCTGAATATTTAATTTGGTTATATTCGATTGTACAAATAAACGCAAATCATTACAGTTGAATTCCTGCTCACGTTGCAATTCACGATCAAACAAATCATGCATGGGACGATTTGGTGCGGTCATACCCAATTGTACTAATGCTTTATTTGCAATCGTTAGACATATATCTTCAATTATTATCAAAGCTTCGTTGCACATTTCCAAGGTAATCAACAAATCAGGATTTCTTGCATGATGACGCATACGAATTAAAATATCTTCTGCCATATAATTTTTATATTTGTTCCATAATTCAAGTGGATTTGATGGCATACATGTCGATAATATAATGGCAAATAGCATTCGTATTTGTTGTGGATGAGCTGACGTAGATGCATCATTAAGTGTTGAATCCCAATGTGCATCATCCTCCAACAAATGCAAGAGTTGACATGCTTCACGATATGTTTGACACAAATGACCGTCGACTGTTCTTAATTCTTGAAATGATTTTGGGCCATTGACGTTAACTAATAGCAATCGCAAATAAAAACACTCAGCATTGTTTGGATGTACTGTATACATTCTCCCAATTCCATTTTTCCCATTCGTGATGGCCGTGCAAGATTCAGTACAGGTACTGGGTTAACAAATCCATTGCGTGCATTACGTTCACGCTGCGATGCATTAGCTTGTGCGCGTTCATCTGCAGTCTGTGATCGTCTTAGTAATGCCACATCATTTGCATTACGCGTTCGCCGACCTATATTTGCTCGTCTGGCTGGTGGCATTTTTCCCGTATGCACATATGTTTTCGCTTAAAAATCGAAAAAAAAAATTAGAACAAAAAAAAAAACAAATTCCCAAGAAGCTGTCGCATATGATGCTATGTGAAATCATATACGGCAACTTAGAAAAGTACACATAAATTCAGGACTCACCGTTTGTATGAATGCACTGCAAATGCAATTATGTGAAAAGAAATTTATCGCTGATAATATGCTTTAATCAAACCACGTCCAAAATGAACTGACGGCATGAATGACATAACAACGTGCTTGTCCTGTCAACAAAACTTCAAAAAAGTTTCTGTGAAAAAAGTTTCTATTGAATTCATTTATTACAAAAAATGTGACAAATGAGGAACCGCTCGACCGATTTTGTGCAAACTTCACATAAACCATCTACTAAATATGCCGACCAAATCCTAAGCATTTGGTTTGGATAGGTGAGCCCGTTCTTGAGTTATGGAATTACAACGAAAAGTGGCATTGATTTTTATATATATAGATTATAAAGCTGGAGAGTTCGTTTTTTTGTTTGAACGCGCTAATCTCGGAAACTACAGGTCCGATTTGAAAAATTATTTCTGTGTTGCATAGCCCATTTATTGAGGAAGGCTATAGGCTATATAAAATATCACACTACGATTAATAGGCGCCGAGCAAACCGAGTGAAACCGCGCGGAAGTAGCTAGTTATAGTTAAAAATACTAATAAACCATTTATCTCTACAGTCAGTAGCAGAACAGCTGTACCACACTTGGAGCAAACCGTTCGTGTTCCTCCACCCGACGTCATACTTCGGCAAACAATCTAAGATCCTACAGCTGACAGAAGCCGACATATTGTCAGATATGAGGGAACTCAACGCTGTGGGATACGAGGGCAAGTTACCTGTGTCTTCTAAACATCAGATATTGTGTTATTTGTGAGTAATCCTTACTTATATTCGGATATTCGGATATTACATATATCGGAAAGTGAGTTTGTTTGTTTGTTCCAACTTCACGCCGTAACTACTAAACCGATTGCATTGAATTTTTGCAAACGTAAAGTTAGTAGTCTGGATTAAATAATAGGGTACTTTTTATCCCGAAAAAATTTGATATTCCCGAGGGAAAACAAAAGTATTGGTATAGATGGCGCTGTATGTATTGGTATATATATGTCACATAGGCTACTTTTTATCCTTTTGTGACGCGAGCAAAGCCGCGGGTAAAAGCTAGTATTGTAATATTTCTTGTTATCTAGCGTTAGTAATGGCGTTGTTAACACTATATTATGACCATTAAATTATCCCCCCTTAAAAAAACACTATATTATGATCATGCTTTGCGAACTAATCTCCTACAATACGGTAGTTGACAGGTAGTCAAATTCAATACTTTTATTGAAATGTCAAAAACGATATTTTTCTATGAATTTTGTATTGGATCGCAACTTATGACGTCATAACATTTCTGCGTCAAATAGCTTACTTATTTCATTAACTCGTCGAGTACCGGTTTTATAGACACAATTAAAGAACAATAGGTCGCGGTCACCGGTGACCGCTTGGTGTTTGACAGTTTAAAATTAGCGAGAAAAAATGCAAAAGTTGGAAAATTGACAAATCAATGGATGAGACTATGATTATTTTTTAATTATTTATTGCAATGTAAAGTTGAAACAAATTATTTTAAACCTATGAAACTAGTCAATTGCAGGTTGGGAAGTATATTCGTTGTTAATCTCACGGAAGACATGCGTATATAGATAGATATGTTCGTAGTAACGGTATTAGTCTAATTTATTATGTAAATTAGGTATGGCAAGTTAATTTTTTTAGTTAAAATTTTGCATAACAACAACATAACATCACGCTTTTTATCCCCGAAGGGGTAGGTAGAGGTGCACATTATGCCACTGTACAATGTAACACCCACTTTTCACTATTTATGTTATGAGTCCCATGTAATAGGGGGTGAGCCTATTGCCATATACCGGGCACAATTCCAGACTCCGTGGTACTACTGAGATTTTTTTTAAAACCCTGTAATACTTTGCCCGACCCGGGAATCGAACCCGAGACCCCTTGCCCGGCAGTCGCACTTGCGATGCGACCACTCGGCCAACGAGGCAGTCTTTTGCTTTTATTATTTTTTTTTTTATTTTGCTTTTTTTGCAAGTAAAATTTAGCTTTTATTATTATTATTTTATAAAGAAAGCTGTGCTCCCCTTCCCATGTAATCGATTGTAACATTTTACTATTATCTGTATACAATTATTGGTGGGCCAATAAAAAAAAATAAAAATTTAATGAATTATTGTTATGGGGCTTCAACTATTGTACCTAATTTTACTATAAATGTATATGTTATTGACGTTTATTTTCAGATCACTGTTAGAGACAACTAAACCGTATATTGTAAATTCTATGCGCATGCCCGCAGCGCAAACTCTACTACTCTTAGCGCATTCGATCGACACGAATATTGGTTTTACAAGGTACGTATTAACTATCAATATTATTTGTTAAAATTGTTAAAGGATATTTATATCTGAAACTAGCTTCTGCCCGCGACTTCGTACGCATAATCCCATTTTTTCCCATCCCCGATCGTGATTTTTGGAAAAAAGGAAAAACTAAATTTTGGTTAAAAAGTATCAAATCAAAAATCAAATCAAATGTCTTTATTTGCTGAACAGAGGTGTAGTACATAATTAGTGCCTAAGGTGTTATTTATTTTTGTTACATATTGTATCTCTTTGTTCTACTCGTTGGGCATGCAAATATTGGGTATGTCTCAACCATTGTATCTATCCTATGTCGGTCTCCTGGCTCTAAGCTACCTCCCTACCAATTTTCAGCCAAATCTATTCTGCCGTTCTTGTGTTATAAATGGTGTAACTAACACGACTTTCTTTTATAGAGGTATATATAGATAAAGGCACCATACACCACATTTATACATTTAAATCTACAATTTTACTGTTATTTTTAGGATAGTTTGTGACTCCTGGCTGCTCTTAGAGTTTCCGTTCCCTGAAACTGGGTTGAAGTTGCTCCTGAAAGCTGTAAAACTACGCCAAAGATGGGATGCCTTGATAAATAGACGACTTATGGGTAAGTCATCGTCATCATCGCAATTTTCATGTAATATGTAAAATGTAGATATTATTATTTTTTGTGTGTTATTGTACTTTGTGACGGTGTGCAAATAAACAACTTTTCTTTCTTTCTTTCTTTCATATGTCGCAAGTGCGACTGCCGGGCAAGGGGTCTCGGGTTCGATTCCCAGGTCGGCCAAAGTATTACTGGCTTTTTCAAAAAAATCACAGTAGTAGCACGGAGTCTGGAATTGTGCCCGGTATATGGCAATAGGCTCACCCCCTATTACACGGGACTCATCACATAAATAGTAAAAAGTGGGTGTACAGTGGTATAGTGGTAAGTACCTACAGTGTACACCTCTGCCTACCCCTTCGAGGATAATAAAAAGGCGTGATGTTGTCTTATTATTTTTATTCTACCTTATTAGGCGTTATCCTATAACAAACTCCACCTCTTTTCTATCAATCCTCATTTTTTCCTATGCTTGTTTACTTTCTTTCCACCCTCATTTAAACGCGCGCATGGCGACCTAGTACATAGTGAAGTGCAACTAATATAGGATTAAATTTCTTTGCTAATATCAATCTACTATATAAAAATAAGTAGGGGTTTCCTTCCTGACGCTATAACTCCAGATCGCACGAACCGATTTCCACGGTTTTGCATTTGTTAGAAAGGTCTCCGGCTCCGTGAGTTTTATAGCAAAGAAAATTCATAATCACCAAACGAAATGTTACATAAACCGAAGCCATCTGGTGGCAATACGGAGTTCGCCTGGTTTGCTAGTTGTATATAAAAATATTTACGTTAGTCTGTAAGGTATGTCTATGGGCCATGGTTGCCTGAAAATAAATAAATAAGTAAATTAAATAAATAAATAAATAAACTCGGCATTAATTTTTATTGGAATTCATTCTGTTTGGTTATGTAAATCTGTAACACTGTGGTTGAGATACGAGCTGGGCAGGACTCGAACCAGTCAGTAAGATGTTAAAGCAAAAAAAAACTTGGAAAATTCGAAACAGTGAACGATGACAGGATCTATCGGGATGATAGGATGATCAGGATTCCTTGTTATTATCCTTCCTATCGTAACCGGGGCTCCGGCTCGACGTGCAGGAGAAGGAACGGGGTGGTTTTTAGTCAGTAAGAGTCTGACACTCCCTTCCGCCTCACCTAGGCGGGAGCAGTCATTCGATGATTTTCCCCCCTTAAAAAAAAATCCTTGAGATATAATCCCAATTATTTAACAATAATAAACCCTTTATTCCAGATGCAAATCCAACAAAGTCAGTGGAAAGCGAGTTAGATAAACAAAAATATGAAAAAATATCATACGAAGAAGTTCAACACGAATTAGCCTGCGATATGAGTTCCTATATGACTTCAGAAGTATATTATACCATCAAGAGGTTATTACCAGGTGACCTCAAGGTTTTATACTGCGGTAATGATGAGGCTCACCCCAGTATAGACCCCAATCCTTTCGATGAAACCTTCGTTTGTCGACCTCATGAGAAGAAAGGAGGTGTCTATGTGACTGACAATGTTGTTTATAATTGGTAAGCTTTTTACTTTTTTTATGGGATATGTATATGTGGTATGTATACAAGCATCACGGATAACCTGATGGTAAGCAATCGGCGTCTCCCATGAACACTTGGAACAACAGACGCGTTACAAGTGCGTTACCGGCCTTTTGGGGATTAGGAGTATGAGGATTGTTGTAGATTCAGGTATTGGGGAGATTTTGGAAGAAGGCAGGCGGTAATTGGGCCTCCAGTAACCTCACTTACACGACGAAATACAACCCAAGCGTTGTTTCACGTCGGTTTTCTGTGAGGCCGTGGTATCACTCCGGTCGAGCCGGCCCATTCGAAGAATGTACTGATATTTGAAGATGATTTTATTCGAAATCTAGTAAAGATTTTTATTTATCAAATTCTTAATGTAAAGAGAAGTATTGATATGTAGACTTTATATTAACAATGTTTAATTGTTTATTATTGTCATTTTTTTTTATTTTGAAAGTTATTATGTTCATCCACTTTTAATAGAACTAATATCTAACTACATATATAAAATAAAATCGTGTTAGTTACACTATTTATAATTCAAGATCAGCTTAATCGATTTGACTGAGAATTGGTGGGGAGCTTAGGAACAGGAGACGGACACAGGATATTTGTTGTCCACGAAATTCCCGAAATTCTAACGAGAACGGGAAAAACGGCATTGCGCGTACGAAGTTGCGGGCAGAAGCTAGCTTAACAGAAATGACCAAAATAATGTGTACTGTATTTTCTTTACTAAACCCTTTGAGCACTAGTTGAAATAATTCAATAACTTTTATTCCCAGTGTCGTTGACTCAGTTTGGAGTGGCAGAAATTATGAAGAAATGTACAATATTCCTTGGACCTGCCCCAACTGTGAGCTTACAGTCTGCCTATCCCCCTTAGAAAGAATACAACACCAACAATTCACTTGTTCTCTCAAAGAAGTTAAAAATAAGGAGGAAGCACCAAAAACTTCAAGAGAAATGAAACCTAATGGTAAAGAATATAAGTGCGAGACTTGCGAACAGACGTTGTATTTGACTCCTGTAGAAATTTTAAAGCATAAAAAAGGTTGTAAGGCGAAATAAACTTTATTATTGTTACTATTTGGTTTGTTTTTGCGTGCGCGTCTTTCCGTATATGCAAATTTCAACTTTATAAGTTATTACCCTGCCTTACTATTTACTCTATTTAATTTCAGGTATTAGGACTAATGTATATCATTGATCAAGCATTCGCAAGTGCGACTGCCGAACAAGGGGTCTCGGGTTCGATTCCCGGGTCGGGGAAAGTATTACTAGGTTTTAAAAAACCTCAGTAGCACGGCGTCTGGAAATGTGCCCGGTGTATAGCGATAGACTCACCCCCATGGATACATACATGGGACTCATAACATAAATAGTGAAAAGTGGGTGTTACATTGTACAATGGCATTAAGTGCCGTAATGTGCACCTCTACCTACACCTTCGGAGATAAAAAGCGTGATTATTCGTTATTCGCATAATATCACGCCTTTAACATACTCATAACATCGCTGTTATGTTTTGTCATTATAAATGTACACACTACTGTGGCATAGTTCGGGTAGAAATAAAAAATAAGCTTTGTTATCTCGTGGGTGTAGAAGTACCTACCTACTTAAATATGGCGAGACAAACGCATCAAATAACCGGATTGAACTGATTACCAGACATAAAACAATATGACACCTCGAAACGTCTTTAATTTTCTTAAGAGATAGGTCAACTCTTGCACAATGTTTAAATAAAAACGATACAGACGTATTGACAACATCCTCCTTTTGAAAAAAATAATTCAATAATATTTTGTCGCATGGACCATATTTTTCATTTTAGGGACATCCTGTATAGAGTTTTGTTGTTTGTTTGAACATGCTAATCTCTAGAACTACTGCATATATAAAAATGAAACCCGTTTCCCGTTGTCACGCTATAACTTGAGAATGGCTGGACCGATTTCACTAAATCTTTTTTGTTGTATTTGTTATTATTAGGAGAAGGTTCTTAAGACACAAAAAATACCCGAAAATCCTACGGGAACGGGAGAAAACGGGATTGCGCGTACGAAGTCGCGGGCAGAAGCTAGTCATTTAATAGATTGTCATTGAGGACATAATGTAAAAATTGCATTATGCTTCATTAAGTAGATATTTACAGAGATCTAGATTTCCAATTTGTGCGGCGTAGTAGGTATTAATTGAAATGTTATAAAAATATACCTATTGATAAGATTACAGCAAAAATAAGTTTCCAAAATTCTAGTTGCATTTTTTTATGGGATACGCCGGTAAACGAGCAGACGGATCACCTGATGATAAGCAATTGGTGTCGTCCATGGACACTGGAACACCAGAGGCGTTGCAAGTGCGTTACCGACCTTTTGGGGATTAGGAATAGGGATTGGGGTTCCCCTATACTTATTATACTCTTTGGATTAAGGAGATTGGGGAATGGCGTCCGGTAACCTCACTCACACGACGAAACACAACGCAAGTGTTGTTTCAATTAATCCTTAATTACACATTTGAAACGCTTAAAATTGAAATGTGCGTCCGTCTGTCCGTCAGTGAAGCTAGACGCGATCCAAAGTGTAGTTTCGAATATTCGTTACTAGCTACTTGTGCGCGGTTTCACCCGCTCTGCTCGGCTCCTATTGGTCGTAGCGAGATGTTTTATAGTCTATAGCCTTCCTCGATAAATGGACTATCTAACACAAAAATAATTATTCAATTCGAATCAGTAGTTTCGGAGATTAGCGCGTTCAAACAAACAAACAAACAAAAAAACAAACTCTTCAGCTTTAAAATATTAGTATAGAGGTAGATTCTTTTTTAAAAATGGCGTGTAGGAGTCTTACTGTGTAACCTATTTGCAGAAATAAATATCATTTCATTTCATGTTGAGTAACCAGTACCTTACTCTACCTACCTAATAAAAAAATTAGATAATTTGTTAATCTTAACTGACCAATCCAACTAAAGCCAGAACATAGACTGCCTTTCAGTCACCAACTGAAATTACCGAGTAAGGAGACTCGGGTTTGATATTTTGATCGTAAAAAATATTATTGACATTTTCGAGCATAGAAATTCTCATTCTACTGACGACTTCAAAGTGAACGAGACCAAAACTTATTCAAAATCGTGTCATTTACTCTACCAGTATCTCTACCTACCCCAATGGGAGATACACCCGTTTCTACGTAAGTATACACCTGTAGATAACCTGTAAACCCATTCGTAGTTATTGAACCGTAGCGGGTGCGTGATTAACTGCACACAGTCGCAAGTCGTGACCCGCCCGTCGGCCATCGAGCCTGTTTTAATTCGAACAATAACGCACTGTGCGTACCTGCGTAATTTCTGCTTTATAAAATGATGATTGGGTGTTGTGGATTTTTGTGTTTACACTACGTTTCTGTGGTGTTGGTGAATAGTCTAAAGTTTTCATTTTCCAGATACTAGGTACCTAGTTATTTTGTGTTAGCAATATAGATAATGGTAGCAGTGTGCAACATTTATTTCAAGTGTTGTAAGAACCGATTATAAAGCTTCATTACTTATAGATAATTTAACAGAAATCTGTAATAACTCTGAACCTTTTAATTCGAGATTTCAACCCTTCTGCCAAGCGGGGATTTGCCGCAAACTCCATTTTTAGGTTTGTCATAAGGCCCTTCATCCAGCAGTGCATTGTTGATGTGAAGTGAAGAATCGTAGCGCATCGAAGCGTTAACAGAACATGTCAAGGAGTAAATAAAAAAAAATCTAGGTTATTTATCACGTATTCGATGAAATCTAGATTTAATCATTTTAGTCATTAGGTACGAGTGTGTCGGATGTCCTAATAAGCGTACAATTTGTCCAATTACTCTTTGGACATTTTAATTTTAACCAATTAGCGTTTCGAAAATTGCAAAGACATGGTTTTCGAATTTTTACAACGTAATTTGTCTGTCGTGGTGCGAACGTCACGCCCTGACGTTTGTCTGGTGTGCACGAAAACGTGAGCACAGTGCAATCTGTGCATATCGTCGCGAGCACAACAATAGGGAAAAAGAAATGAGGGCGAACGTGCAATATTTCCTCTTTTGAGGGATACATTGTTGTTATTATTTTTTTGTTAACCGTTCATGTAAATGTCGGTGTCAGGATTGTGGCGAAGTTAAAATTTGATGGACAATTATGTGAACAATTTTTTTTTTCGGTTTGGTGTTGCTGGTGGGTATTCTCATGATCCCTGCGCAGATATAGGGAGTGATGATTGTCAGGCTCTCATTTACTAAGCCCCACTTTCGTGTCTCGCTTCAAGTCGTGTCGGGCTTAGTGCCGCGGAAGTCCAAACGTTTTCTATTTTCAAAATTCAAAAAAACGTTACAACACCACATAGTTCGTAGGTATCCAAAAAACCGTTTGTGAACCAACCAATGAGACAGTTTAAAATAAGATATTCATGACTCTGTTACAACAATCAGTTTGAAATCGCACCAAGTGCTCCAATTTGCCATCACGACTGCACGGTTGGTGCGGTGGTTGGGCAACCGGCTGCCGTGCAACGTGTCGCGGGTTCGATTCCCGCACGGAACAACACTTTGTGTGATCCACAAATTGTTGTTTCGGGTCTGGGTGTCATTGTGTATGTGAACTTGTATGTTTGTCAACGCACCCACGACACAGGAAAAAATCCTAGTGTGGGGCAACGTTTAAAAAAAAAATCATCAAACCACGACCAAGTACTAACATCTTAAAGACGTAGTTACTTTTGACAATTTACAAATTACCATAGCTACTAGCATAGCCACATAGGTACGACGACCTTGTCTTCGTGGAGCCCGCCTCGAAGGTTTTGGCTTGAAACCTATAATTATGTATAATTAGACATGTTATCTGTCCGTGTGACCTCGCCCCGTAACAATGCCGTACTGCCGGACCGGCCCGGAAGCGTCAACTAAGTAGATGAGTTCTGTTTGATCGTTTTGAGATAGGTATTTCTAGTTGGTAGTTTATTTATGAAGGTAGTGGCTTCTGTGTGAATGACTCACGTTCATGATAAACATTATAAGGGGACAATCTAAGTAATGGAATGATGTGGAGCGAGCGAAGCTCAAGACCGATCGATATGGAGGCCCTTTGTAGACGCCCTTTGCTCCATCTAGGAGACATATAACCTTAAGTATTCAACCGCCCATTACAGTCCACTGCTGGAGAAGACTCCTAAGTCTTCTCTACATAAGAAGGTTTGTTATAGTCTTCATGCTTGGTTACTAGGCTGGTTGGGTTGCAGTTCAAAAGGTTCAGTTGTATTAAAGAACAAAAATAACAATACAATACAATTTGACAAAATAACAATATAAAAGTTTAACACAAGAGAGTGAGAATAAAAAGATACAAAGCGAAATCATAAAATTAGAACAAGATAATTAAAATAGGTATAACATACTGCGCGATATTAGCAGACATGCCCAAGCCGACAAGATGCTATGTGGGTAAGTATTATATAGAAAATACTTAGGTACTATTTTCTGCAGTCTATGGTATAGTCTACGTAAAATACTCCTGTTAAGAAAGTTACCCGTCATTATGAAAAGCCACGACCTCCAAGTATTTAATAACCTTCTAACTACTCTGATTTATATCCACGAAATAAAATCATTATTTAGCACAATAGATGTTCAGTTGCTTTCTTACGCGGTGACAGGATGACAGCCGTGTTCAGCACAAAACAAACTTAATCCCACCTACGGGTAAACAAAAATACATCTTATTCTTAAGTATTAAGGTGCATACAACGTGGTTCAATAAAATTGTGTACAGTTAAGCTAGAGGTTAAAAGTTAACCACCTATCTGGTTCGCGTTCGGTGCACTATAAAGTTGAATTTGATGGAGATGCTTTCGAGACCAAACGCAGGGAACTTAGTCGAAGACCTTCGCATTGAAGTTAAAAGGAATTAGGTGCCTGATATTAGCCGTATCAAGTGATGGATAATTAATTGGACGTATCACACTAATATATTATAGTGAACTCATCTAATTCTGTGACTCGCCTAATAATTCGGTTTAGTAAATT